TCTAGTCCTGCTGATCCAATCTGAGATTTTTGATGATTATAATTTTTAAGAAATTACTTTTACATTTTCATTCTTTTTAAAGAATTTATTGACATTATCATTTCCTTTTTATTATCTGCTTAACACTATATAGACTTCACTCTCATACTGCTCACTTTTTATAGAGACATCTCTTTCCCCTTCTTGTATTTTTAAATTTTATTTATATTTCTGTATATCATCAAGGGATCTTTTGGAAAAGATTTGCAGGTGACTTAGTCTCTGACCCTGTAACATAATGTTCACCTCTAACTATCACCTTGTAAAATGTCATCTTGTGAAATTATTTATTTAATTGGAGATAATCTATTATTTCTACTATAGATGTTCAAAAAACATTTTGCTTACATCTAAAATATAGATCCCTATGATGTGTTTATATATGTGAATTTATGTTATATATTTGTATAACATAAATGTTTTCTATTTATTTGTTAAATATAATGTATACTTAAATATTTAAATATTTCCTAGAAAATATTTAGTGTTTTACCTCTGCTGTTTGATTTCCTCTCCTGACCTTCAGTGGCTCTGCTCCATTGGATTTGTGGGCTCACCTCAAGTCTTTTCTATTATTTCAGTCACCATTGCATTAGTTCTGTTCCTTCTTGTCTCTCCTTCTGTACTTTCTATTATGTAGCCTCTGTGATCCCATTTTTCCTCCTAGGTTTGTCCTTCTTTTTTTAAATTTTTCTCTCTGTTGCGAGGGGAAAAGTTGCCATGTATGCAGTAGAGGGGGAGAAATAAAGCATGTCCACGAGCTTCTGCCCTTTTCAATGCTTTATTCACTCAAATCACTCAATACAATTTCACTCTATAGGTTCTTAATCAAGAAAAAGATAATCCTTAATGCTAGGCACTACAATAGATATATAATCAATTCACAGCAAACAATTCTAGATTAATTCTAAGCATGGTAAACACACTTGATCATGACAGGCTAATGACAGACATTCCCTCTGCATGCAAAGTTAAAAAGTCTCAAGCCTTAGGCTTTAAGTCCAGCAGATGCACACTCACTCAGACCACAGTGATCAGGTCAGGAACCAAGGCAGGCTTCTCCTGGGATAGAGGTGATGGCCAGTAGAGGAGAGGGTCGTAGGGAGAAGCTGCGCCTCTCACCAGGGTCAAGATGTGGGCGTAGAGTTTGAGAGCAGTGAGGATCATACAGAGGATGAAACAAATGTGACACGTGATGGGACCTCAGTCGGAGTACTCTTCAGGTTCTCCAGCTGGAGTGCATCCTTGTTTCGGCTGGCTGAATACCTGTTCATTAGCTTTGTTATTTATACTAAATTTTGAGACTTTTTGACCCCCCCCCTTTCAATCCTTATCAGTTACCACCAGATTTCTCAGTGACATCATTCAATCTGGGGGTTAAAACATCTAGTCTGGTGGTCTCCACCATGATCTTCTCGCCTTTCCCTCTTATCAGGCGAGGAAAGCCTGCCAGAGGCTTCACTCTATTTATCAGGGAAAGATAAAGACTTGTTTATGTCGGAGAGCTATACTGGAGGGCTCTGTTAGGCATGCCTGGTGAGACTGCAGGTTTCAAACTAAAGTTTTTACAATGAAGTTGGTTAGGCTCAGGCCTAAGGCCATCCTCACACTCTCCCATCATTTTTTTTTTTTTTTGATTCATGTGACTAGAAGGTCCAGAAGTTAATTCTGGTTTCTTTCTTTCTTTCTTTCTTTCTTTTTTTATTAAATTCATGACAATAGTGGAATACATTACACTCATTATTACCCATTCACAGCACAATTTTTCGTAACTCTGTATATAAAGTATGTTCACGCCAAATTATGCCATTATACATGTACTCTTTTTTTTTTTTTAATGGGAGGAAGATTGTTTCTAGATAGGGAAGAGGGGTGGGAGGGAAAGGGAGGGGGGAAGGGGATTAGCAAAGATGGAGGAATGTGATGGTCATCATTATACAAAATACATGTATGAAGATTTGAATTTGGTGTCAACATACTTTATATATACAAACAGATATATGAAAAATTGTGGCATATATGTGTATTAAGAATTGTAATACAAAAAAAAGTACATCTCCCATCATTTTGAGGTCAATATTGTTCTCTGAGCTCTGGGTGCATCCCTTAAGCTTGTTCTATTCTCTTCCACAGTACCTTTCTTGTGAGATGTATCTTCCACTTGGGTCTTCAGTTTGGTGGTTAGAATTGCCATCTCTCCAATTTCCCCTTTTTATTTACTCCTTCTTTCTAAGTGCTTAAGATCACAATATCATGATTACAGTGCTTTTTGAAATTCTTAACATGAATTTCTAAACTTTCATTGGTATCTTGCAGTAATTGTTCCCATTGATTTCTCTCTCTGAACTATGGTGTCTTTTCATAGCTCCAGGAATTTTTATGCTTACTCATCATTTTTTATTGATTTTATTTTTTAAATACATGACAGTGGAATGCATCACAATTCTTATTACATATATAGAACAATTTTTTATACCTCTGTTTGTATATAAGTATGTTCACACCTATTCATGTCTTCATACATGTACTTTGGATAATGATGTCTATCACATTCCACGGCCCTTGCTAATCTCCTGCCCCCACCCTTTCCCTCCCACCCCTCTGCCCTCTCTAGAATTCATCTAATCCTCCCATGCTCTCCCTCCTTACCCCACTATGAGTCAGCATCTTTATATCAGAGAACATTCGGCATTTGTTTTTTGGGGGGACTGGCTAACTTCACTTAGCATTATCTTCTCCAACGCCATCCATTTACCTACAAATGCCATGATTTTATTCTCTTTTATTGCTGAGTAAAATTCCACTGTGTATATATGCCACAAATTTTTATCCATTCATCCACTGAAGGGCATCTAGGTTGGCTCCACAGTTTAGCTATTGTGAATTGTGCTGCTATAAACATTGATGTGGCTGTGTCCCTGTAGTATGCTGATTTTAAGTCCTTTGGGTATAGTCTGAGGAGAGGGATAGCTGGGTCAAATGGTGGTTCCATTTCCAGATTTCCAAGGAATCTCCATACTGCTTTCCATAATGGCTGCACCAATTTGTAGTCCCACCAGCAATGTATGAGTGTACCTTTCCCCCCACATCCTCGCAAGCACTTATTGTTGTTTGTATACATAATAACTGCCATTCTGACTGGAGTGAGATGGTATCTTGGAGTGGTTTTAATTTGCATTTCTCTAATTGCTAGTGATGATGAACATTTTTTCATATATTTGTTGATTGATTGAATATCCCCTTCTGAGAAGTGTCTGTTCATGTCCTTGGCCCATTTATTGATTGAGTTATTTGGGGTTTTTTGGTGTTTAGCTTTTTGAGTTCTTTATATACCCTAGAGATTAGTGCTCTATCTGATTTGTGAGGGATAAAAATTTGCTCCCAGGATGTTGGCTCTCTATTCACCTCACAGATTATTTCTTTTGCTGGGAAGAAACTTTTTAGTTTGAATCTATCCCATTTAATGATTCTTGGTTCTAATTCTTGCGCTATAGGAGTCTTATTAAGGATGTTGGGGCCTAATCCCACATGATGGAGATTGGGGCCTACTTTTTCTTCTACTTTTTTTCTAGACACAGGGTCTCTGGTTGTATTCCTAAGTCCTTGATCCATTTTGAGTTAAGTTTTGTGCATGGTGGGAGATAGGGGTTTAATTTCATTTTGTTGCATATGGATTTCTAGTTTTCCCAGCACCATTTGTTGAAGAGGCTATCTTTTCTCCAATGCATGTTTTTGGTACCTTTGTCTAATACAAGATAATTGTAATTTTGTGAGTTAGTTTCTGTGTCCTCTATTTTGTACCATTGGTCTACCAGTCTATTTGGTGCCAATACCATGCTGTTTTGTTACTATTGCTCTATAGTATAATTTAAGATCTGGTATAGTGATGCCACCTGCTTCACTCTTCCTGCTAAGGATTGATTTAGCTATTCTGAGTCTCTTATTTTTCCAGATGAATTTCATGATTGCTTTTTCTATTCCTATGAGGAATGCCATTGGGATTTTGATCGGAATGCATTAAATCTGTATAGTGCTTTTGGTAGTATGGTCATTTTGATAATCTTAATTCTGCCTATCCAAGAGCAAGGTCATAAAGGCTATCTACCCTAAGCCCCAGGCCAACATCATTCTAAATGGAGAAAAATTGAAGGCATTCCCTCTAAAAACTGGAACAAGAGAGGGATGCCATCTTTCACCACTTCTATTTAACATAATCCTTGAAACACTGGCCAGAGCAATTAGAGAGATAAAAGAAATTAAAGGGATACATATAGGAAAAGAAGAACTCAAATTAGCACTATTTGCTGATATGATTCTATACTTAGAAGACCCAAAAAACTCCACCAGAAAACTTCTAAAACTAGTAAACGAATTCAGCAAAGTAGCTGGATATAAAATCAACACCTTATAAATCAAAATCATTTCTGTATATCAGCGACAAATCCTCTGAGAAGGAAGTAAGGAAAACTATCCCATTTACAATAACCTCAAAAAAATAAATAAATAAAATACTTGGGAATCAACTTAATGAAAGAGATGAAAAATCTATACAATGAAAACTACAGAACCCTAAAGAAAGAAATCAAAGAAGACCTTGCTCATCATTTTAAATGTAGAACTGTGCTTACTGATGTAATGGTTCATTTAATTTGCAGCCTAGATCCGTCAGGATCCCTGACAAAATCCTTTACATTTTGACAAAGGGAGAAGAAATTTTACTTCATTTTAAATCCATGAGTCTAGGGAAGACAGCCACCAGTCTGTAGGGAATAGTGGACATATGGATAAACGGAAAGGCCCCACAATATGGTTCATCCAACAGTGAGCCTCAAGAGTAGCCTGTTCTTTTCTTGTAGCATCCTACTCTACTGGCCACCAGCATTCCTCACTAGGGAGTACTTCTGAGCAGAAGCCATGTCTGTGATCTTGTAATCAATCTTTCTCTACTTTACTTTCTACAGGATTGCCCGGATGATCCGTCAGGAAAGAGGCAATGCCCTGCTTGTGGGAGTAGGAGGCACAGGAAAGCAGTCTCTTACAAGACTTGCAGCTCATATATGTGGTCACAAATGTTTGCAGATCGAACTTAGCCGTGGATATAACTATGATACTTTTCATGATGACCTGAGGAGGTTGTACAAATTGGCTGGTGTAGAGGACAAAAATATGGTTTTTCTTTTCACAGACACCCAGGTACATATTTAAACAGCTCACTTGTAAAATCAGGAAGTATATGAGTGTTACAATACAGCATATACTTTGCATAGTTTGTAGGATGAAGTTCAAGGATTATTGTCTCTGAAAGCAGATTATCTGCACTGTATAAAAGGCTTTTATAATATATTTTTATTTATCTTTCCAAGTTTTGTTTGTAAACTCTAAATAATTGTGATAAAAGGTTAAAGAGAAACTTTTTTGTGTTTTTTATGTTTTTATTAGTACATTACAGTTATACATAATAGTGGGGTTGAGAGAAAGTTTTAACTATTCTTTGATGAAAAGGACAAAGATAGCAGACGGTAAGTAAAATCAGATTAACTCTAAAATTAAAATAAGATTACATTTACATCTAAAATAGCCAACCTAACTGATCTTAAATTCTATAGTAAATGCTATACTTGGGTGTTTTAACTTTAGGGAAAATAAGCCTTCTAGAAAATATGATAGATTTAACGTATAACTATTTTAAACTTCTTTGTAATTTTTAAAACATTGTGACAAGGATTGAGTGCAAACACACAATAGAGAAAATATTTTCACCATCTACATGAAATGAGTTTATATCTTAGTATAAAAATACAAACAAAAAAGAAGAAATATAAAATAGAAGAAATATAAAAATGTAATAGAATGTGAATTAAAAGTTCCTAAAAACCTATTCAGCCTAACCAATAACTAAAGAAATGTAAATAAATAAAAATGCCATGAGCTTAGCATACTAAAGGCTCTGGATTGGATCCCTAGCACCACGAAAATAAATAAATAACACTTGCTTGACATGTGTGAGGCCCTGGGTTCAATCTCCAGCACCACATAAACAGAAAATAAATGTGAAAGCATTAATGTGAAAATGCTTATAATGTGTTGTTATATCACCATATAAGCTCTTCAGTTTTATATAAACAGATATGCCATGTGTGCAACTAGAAATGTCTGGATCATGGGATTATGAGTGATTTTATTTTTCTTAGTTTTGCTATTTATAGTTTCTAATTATTCAAAAATTAAAATATTTCTTAATTTTTAGTATTGCTTTTAAAAATCAAGGAAGTTATATAAAAAGATTCTAAGTATTAAATCTCCAAAGATAAAGTCATATTGTCTTGCTCAACTCCAAACAAAAGCTATATTATACTCTGTTGAAAACCCCAATCTCAAATGTTCTACAGTAATGAAGAGTAGACACAGCTATAACTAAATCACATGTATACATGTGTGTATACAGGTGTATATACATATGTACATATGCAAAAGTATAAATGTGAGAAGAAATTGAGAGAAACAAATGTTTAAAATAGTTTAACTTGAATTAAGTAAAATATAAATGCTTTTTAAGAAACAAAGCAATAAGGAAAAAGGAATCAGTATACTTGCTAGAATTTTAGGATTAGAATATACTTGTTAGAATTTTAGGATTCTATCTAGTTTTTAGAACCATTTTCTCTTAAAGATAAAATTAACTTATGTGAATTTTAGAATAAATGTTTGCTTTATAATTTACAGGTAGTAACTGTAAAATGAATTATAACAATCATTCTGCTTTCTTCTACAGATTGTAGTGGAGGAATTCCTAGAAGATATAAATAACATCCTGAATTCGGGTGAAGTGCCTAATCTATTTGAAAAGGATGAACTGGAGCAGGTGTTAGCAGCCACCAGGCCAAAAGCAAAAGAAGTTGGAATTTCCGAGGGGAACAGAGATGAAGTAGGACATGCCAGAATAGTTCCATGGCTTTCTAAACATAAAGTTGTCTTAAACTTTCATTTAACAATCTCTAAGTCCCCTTAACGGATCCATGAATGAAATTTCTTCAGTATAATTAGCTCTCTTTGTAACTCTGCATTTTATTTTCTATGTCTAAAGTGTGAGTTCATCAGTCTTCCAGAAAAGTGATGGAAGTAGAAAGTAAAAACCCTCCGGCCCTACGGAGATCATAGACTTGTCCAAACTGGACAGTTTCCCTTATTCTCCTTTAAGTCCAAGTTTATTTCTCACCCCTGCAGTGTCCTTCCTGAGAAGGGCTAGTGGGAAGTTCTAGTACTTTTGATCCCCTTGTGTATCAGAATGTTATGCACAAGTGAAACAGAAATGTGTTTTCTCTCACTCTCTCAGGAACTACCATTCATCTCCATTTCTCCAATACTGTGATTTCATTTATCTACCCCAATCTTTTTCTTTCTTCTTGGGTCTTCATCTTTTTGGCTATTCTTTCTCCTCAAATATACCAATGAGGATAACCTATATAACATCCAGAACCCTAGTTGAAATGAAGTCTGCAAAATGTCATTTTTAATCTTTCCAACTGTAAGTCATTCGTTCAATCCAGAAATATCTGTTGGACAACTTCTCTAGTTGGAATGGATGTTCAACACAGTAATTCACATATCTACTGTGCTAGCATTTTTATTTAATAATGCATTAGCCTCAGATGGATTAGCCAACACTTACTTTCATCCTTATTTTAAATTGAAAAACATTGTTGCTTTTGTCAGGTGTTTCAGTACTTTATCAGCAGAGTTCGTCAAAAACTGCACATTGTTCTTTGCATGAGCCCAGTTGGAGAGGCGTTTCGGTCCCGATGCCGGATGTTCCCATCTCTTGTGAACTGCTGCACAATTGACTGGTTTGTCCAGGTTGGTGACTCAGTAGGACAGCTCTTTAAGAAGAGATTTTAGAGAAGTAATGTGTTGAAAATAACTCACAGTACTTGAATTAACTTTAAAAGTTATTCATACAAGGGATAACAATGACAATCAGCCAAAGACAAAACAGAACTTATGAAGAAAGAGGAGATCTTGAATTTAGCAGTACAGAAGTTATCAGTGATCTTGATGAGCTATTTCAATGGATGATGGGGGAGAGGGTTCAAAAGAGAAGGGGAGAGGAATCAGAGACAGTGATAATAGGCAACAACTTCAACTTCAAGAAGTTTTGTCGAAATGAAAGCAGAGAAATGAGGGTGAGAGAGGGGCTTATGAGATCAAGAATAAAGTCTTTTTGAATGAGAAATATAAGCAGCATGTGTGTGTGATGAAGGTGAAAACGTTCTAGAAAAACAGAAATATATTGATGATGTTGTATACAACACTAAATGTGTGGAACCAATATCCTTTAGAAAATAACTGAATCATCAATTAAGAGGCTGACTTGGGCAGAAAGCATAAACAGCTTTCCCTGAGTAATAGGACAAGGGGTACAGACCCAGGTGGCAGAAGACACAGGGGTAAAGGCTCACTGAATTTGTTTGCCTTATTTCTTTTTCTTTTCTTTTTTTGATGAGGGAAAACAAAGTCATAAATTGAGGATAAAGAAGAAAAAGGAAGTGAGCAGTCAAAGGAAGTTAAGTAGGATATGAAATACTCACTTAAGAGAGCACAAAACCAAAGTGTTAGACAATGTGGAAGAAATTTTGGGCTGCATTAAGGAGTTAGTTGTAAATTTTAAGTGCGGTACATCAAACATGACTGTGTTTTCTATTGTTTTGTTTTCTTTTGTTTTGCTTTGTTTCTCTAGTCAGCTACACCTGCTCAGTTGCAGGCATGGAATAACAGAGAGTTGTGTTTTACTAGGGTTCAGGCAAGCTCAAGAAATAAGAAAAAAGCAAAGGAGTTAAGATGTGTGCAGGATCATGACTACAATGATGGTCCTGACACCACAACTGTATAATAAATAGAGTGAGGTAATGAGGTCCTCATAACAGATGATTCTGTTTATGGAATTCTAAAACTATACAGACATTCATTCATTCAAGAAATATCTGTTGGACAACTTCTGTATGTCTGGCACTGTCCTAGGAACATACTAGTCAGCAAATGCAGATTTGGGCCCCTCTCTAATGAACAGAGAGAGCCATTTCAGTTTATTGAGCACCAGAAACATGTATAAGAGATAACTTGGTGAAAGGAGGGACTAGACAAGGAAAAATTCCAGAGAAATAGTTTTCTCACTTGTTACTCTGCATGTTGTTGAAATGCCCAACAGATTTTCCAGATTGCTTCTTTATTTACAGTGGCCCAGAGAAGCGCTTCTTTCTGTGTCAAAGACATTTTTCTCAACTGTTGACACTGGAAATGACAAACTGAAAGAAAAGCTTTCCCTCATGTGTGTCAATGTTCACTTGAGTGTCTCCCAAACAGCAGACCGCTATTACACTGAGCTCCGCCGGCGGTACTACACGACGCCCACTTCCTACCTAGAGCTCATCAATCTCTACCTGACTATGTTGACTGAGAAAAAGAAGCAGTTAATTTCAGTATGTTTCAGTCCATTAATTTTGTGGGGGGTTTTTTGCTCAAACTGAAAACTTTGGGAGTGAGAGGATGATCTGTGTACCTGTCTAGAGCCCTTTTCATCCAGTCCTATGACCTTGACAACCTGAAATGTGACCAAAAAAGGGTCCTGTGCTCTCAGTCCAAGGGCTCCCTATTCCTGGATATTTATATTTTCCTTCTATCATTTACATAAGTATCCTTGACTCAATAGAATGACAGGGACATAGTAATAGCATTAAAGTTAAGCAGAGATCTGGTCATCTCTGCAGTATTTAATATGGAGGGAAACTTTATTTTAAGCAATCAAGATAAGGTTTTAATTGTCTAACATGTGCCAAGGACTTGAGTGTCTGACAAACTACATGTAACTTTTTCTGTTGAGCATGTTATACAATTTCTTTAAGGTTTAGTAGGAAATAAGTTTTAAAATATCTAAATATCCCTCTTGAATTTCTCTGGAATTTAAATAAGATATTGTTCATGAAGTTCTTAGAGTATGATCAAAGATATATGAGGTGCTCAAAAAATAGAGGCTGACATTAGCAACATCATCTGACCATTAACATGGTCTAAAATATTCAATGTTTAAACACAGTAAAAATGGAAGCATTTCCCAATAGATATTTAAAATGTTTTTCAAATGATTTTTACGTCATAAAATAAATGTATGCTCTTGTAAAATAACTTGACAGGTATTTTTGAAAACTGTCTATTTGAACCAATCTTTCTGATTCATTTTCAAAAAAATGGTTCTTCCCAGGTGTCTCCTCTACCACATCCTACTCTTTTGGTACAAGTCAAAATTTTTCACTCCTGGGGAATAAGATTCAGATATAGAAACTAGAGTTAGGTGTCCAGGACCTTGTTTCCCTGGGGTCTCAACCCTCCTGAGAGTAAACAAACTCCCAGGCCTCTGGGGATCCCTGCCTGAACTTATACCTCACTCATTCAACATGCTACCATGAGGAATGAAGATAATGCAGTGTGATCACTGCCCTCAGTGAGTCACAGTCCAGTGATGTGATGTCCCACAGCTGTAACCAGGGGACATGTATCCACACACATTGTGGAAAATGGCATGGCCATTTCCTAGAGTTCTGTTACCTGAAGACTTTGCAAATTGCAAAAATTTTACAACTTGAAGTATTACAAACTGATGTACTAATTCTGTAGCTATAAAATTAATTTATGAGTAACAGAGGCCAGTAAAACCTGTAATTTATAATGCTCATTATAATAGAAATTTTTGTTGTCATTTAGGCAAGAGATCGGGTGAAGAATGGTCTCACGAAGCTACTACAAACAAATATACTGGTAGATAATATGAAATTAGAACTTTCAGCTCTAGAACCTGTGCTTTTGAAAAAATCACAAGATGTTGAAACCCTGATGGAAAAATTGGCAGTCGATCAAGAAAGTGCTGATCAGGTATGATATATTACCTGATAATGTAGGTGAGGTAATATATCATTTATATAGAGTGACCCATGAGCAGATTATTTTATTATATATCAGTCAAATATTAGGTGTCATTTAAATAAACAGTTTTGGCAATACTATTTTTTTCTAGAAATTTAGCAATGTTTTTAAGCTATAAACGATCTCTCTTTACCAAATCAGCCTAGTTCTGTCCCAGAGAATTGGTTGTAGTTCACTGAGTGGGGAAGAGAGAGTTCTGAGAAAAATACCACCAACATATATAAGGCAACTCTCCTAGAAGTAACTACTTATTATATAAAAATTTGATCTCTTTAATTCTGTCAATGTGGTACATGATGAACACAGAACATCAAATGCAATCTAGTTAATTCCTTTTCATCTTTAATCTAATCCAAAGGGTAAATACAGCTTATTAATTGACTTTGTTTTAAAGCTCTGAAATTCAACAGGGCTTGGTGGCACATGCCTGAAATCCCAGAGACTCAGGAAGGTAAGACAGAAGGATCATAAGTTTGAGGACAGCCTGGGAAACTTAGGGAGATCTTGTCTCAAAACTAAGGGGAAAAAAAAAGATCTAGGGATATAGATCAGTGGTAAAGCACCCCTAAATTCAATCCACAGAAGCAAAATAAATAAACAAAAAATAAAATATTGGAATTCAAATGCAGATTGGATATCCTTTATCCCAAGTGGTTGGGGCCAGAAACAGTTTGAATTTTGGATTTTTCCATATTTTGGTATATTTACATATATATAATGAGATATCATGGGGATGGGACCCAAGTATAATCACAAAATTCATCTGTGTTTTATATACCCCTTATAGCACATAATTTTATATAATCTTTTATTGTGCCTACATTTTGCTTGTGGTCTATCAGATGAGGTCAGTTGTGGAATTTTCCACTTGTGGCATCATATTGGTGCTCAAACGTTTCAGATTTTGGAACATTTCAGATTTTGGATTTTTTGATTAGGGATGCTCAATGTGTAATGAGACCACCTAAGCAGTCACATTTCAATGGTTAGGTCCGTAACGTTGTGCGAGAAGATGAAGCAATAGCAAAAGTGAAAGCTCAAGAAACCCAAGCAATAGCTGATGATGCTCAGAGAGACCTCGAAGAAGCATTGCCTGCACTTGACGCTGCCAATAGAGCACTGGATTCCTTAGATAAAGCAGATATAGCTGAAATCAGGGTTTTTACAAAGCCCCCAGATATGGTCATGACTGTAATGGAAGCAATCTCCATTCTCTTGAATGCCAAGTGAGTAATACAAAAGCTTGAATTATTAGATTATCTGGTGGTATTTCTTTACTATTTTTCTCCATTTTCATATTTTTATATATGTATGTTGATTCTTTTCTCTAACCTCTCATTAATTTGATTGGCCATTCAACAAATTGATTCACCAATTTTTCCAACATTTATTTTGTACTATATTATAGAAGTTAAAATGATGGGTTTTTTCACTATAAGATGCAGACAATTTAATGGAGAGATACAAGCTGATCTTTTGGGAGATGATGCATACAGTTTGTGCCTGTAAAGAGAGCTCAGGCACTTATGATACTTGTGAAACAGGGTTGAGGCTGAGTAAAAAGGCAGTGATCACATCATGAAAAATCTTGTATGATACACCAAGCAATCCAAATTTCATCTTAAAGATGTGGTTTTCAAATTTTCTTCAGTAATAAAATCCTTTTTTCAATACAAATTATGTTATAAGAAACCTTTCTATGTAAAACGAGCAAAGCACCAGAAATACCCCTTAACCACCAGGTCTCCCTACAGACCCTCAGATTGGCACAATGGTAGGTCCCAGGGATCTCTGCAGAGCAGAGATAGAGAGTCCCCATGTGCAGAGGGAACTGAGAACCATTGAACATTTTTTACCTAATCAGATTTTCACAGTATAAAGACCAATATGGCAAAAGTTCTAAAGGGCAAGGTTGACCAAGAGACCTAAGTCCCAGGCATTATTTTTTATTATTTAAAAGAGATTTTAAGGGTTGCAACTAGGCAAAGGAGATGAAGTGTGAATTCCACTCTATTATTTTATAGTTCTTTCTCTACCAAATCTGAGTTTTATGGGGTGATGCATGGAACTACCAACTTCTGGGATTACAATACTGAGATTAAAACTACCGATCTGTTGGGATGATATTGTAATGTTCTCAGAGGAATACATCTCTTTTGTTCATATATTACTTGATTATAATTTTGTTAATTTGTTATCTCTGTGTTTTAGGCCTGATTGGCCCACAGCAAAGCAACTTCTTGGCGAATCTAACTTTCTAAGAAGGCTTTTAGAATATGATAAGGAAAACATAAAGCCTCAAATAATAGCAAAGCTTCAAAAGTATATTAATAATCCTGATTTTCTTCCTGAAAAAGTAGAGAAAGTATCCAAAGCATGTAAATCCATGTGCATGTGGGTAAGAGCGATGGATTTGTACTTTCGAGTAGTCAAGGAAGTGGAACCAAAGAGACAAAAACTCCGTGCTGCCCAGGTATGTTATCCATATTATGATGTTTTGGAGTCTTAAAGGCCATCATCATCAATCATCCAAGCTCTCTGTATAGTGCCACTTTGATGCTAGGCAATATAGATAGTGACAACACTTGAAAAACCAGCTTTTATTTCAAACAATAGCTGGCAGGGTTTTTTTTTTTTATATTTTTTAAGTTTTCTCTAAAGTCATCCTTCTTTTAGCATTAAAGAAAAATAAGTCCTTAGTATAATTCATCTGAAAAAAAGAGAAATTATGTTTATGATATTTTTGAGGTTCCTCTATCATATGATGATCTACATTTCTATTTGCTAAATATCCCCACACCTGATGTGTTATCTGAGATTTTAGAACCAGCTTAATTCACAATCATGTGTGAGGTCCTTAGTCTTCCCAAGAACAAAGAATGATCATTTAGAGGAGCAGATTACCAAAATAATGGTGAATAGAGAGCAGGAATAAGCAAAAATTTTCTATGAAAATCCAGATATTTGAGAATTGAATTGGAGCAAACTATGTTATATGCATTTATGAATATGTCAAAATTAATGTATTCATAAGTTATATTGTTACATATAACTATAATGAACTAATAGGAACTTTTTTAAAAGATCAAAATAGTAAATATTTCAATTTGTGGGCTAAATATTTCAATTTTATTGTGGACTACATGATCTCTGTACAAGAATTCAACTCTGTTGTTGCCCAGAGAAACAGCCATTAGCAATACATAAACAATAAGAATGGCTATGTTCCAATATAACTTTATTTATGGACAACAGAATTCCAATTTTATATAATATCACATGTAAAAAATACTTTGTGTTTATTTCTAATTATTATAAAATGTAATAATCATTCATAGTTCATAGGCTGTACAAAAGCAAGCATCAGGGCTGGGAATGTGGCTCAAGCGGTAGCGCGCTCGCCTGGCATGCGTGCGGCCCGGGTTCGATCCTCAGCACCACATACAAAGAAAGATGTTGTGTCCGCCGAAAACTAAAAAATAAATATTAAAAAAAAATTCTCTCTGTCAAAAAAAAATATTTAAAAAAAAAAAAAGCAAGCATCAATGGAGAGGTGGCCTGCAGGCCATAAGTTCACTACCCCCTGACACAGAGAACTAGTAAGGAAAAATTAGTTTTCATTATTCTAAGAATATTTATTTTATCATTTAAAATTAATATCCATTGTAGTAATTTATTCATCTCATATGCTTGGCACAGCTGTTTCTCTATTCCTTTTATGACTTATTTTGTTGGACTTTTTGTTTGGTCTAGATTGGTTCTGCTCTTGTATTTTACTCAGTAAATGTTTTAATTTTGTACAATATATCAAAATATTTACAAACATGAAAAAGGGAACATAAAAAAATCTTTATTATATAAATGGGCAAATTCAGCCTTCTTTGTGGGTCTATTTGTAAATATTTGCTTGATTTTTACTAGGCTGAACTTGATGTTACAATAGCTACCCTAAAAGAAAAGCAAGCATTATTAAGACAAGTGGAGGATCAAATACGAGCCTTACAAGATGAATATGACAAAGGTGTGAATGAAAAAGAAAGTTTGGGTAAGTAACTCATAAAATTTGCTTTGTTATAGATGTCTGATTTTTAAAAGTTTGAAAATTTTCAGGCAATCTGATATTGGCTTTTATTCAACATGCAGAATACATTTAGACTTCTTTCATTAGCTTCCTTGTATAAAATGAGAAAAACTACATATATTGTATGTATTCAACATCTTATATCTGAACATAGCTTCTTGGAGTATATTGCATTAAAACTCAGAGCAACAGATAAATTTTATCTACAAAAAAAATGCTACAAGGCACTGAGAACACACAAATATTATAGGGCAAACAGAAAGCCATCTTCAGTTAGAGTAGTGTAGCATTAAAAAGAGCTCTTGAAATGGAAAAATTAAACTTTGACTTGGTTCTGAAGTGGGAAATAATATTGAATTGGTGTGATACTTTTTAGCAATATATTGCTATAATTAGCTAAATAATGCTAATTATGCTACAAACAAAAGCAAGTATATAAACTTTTAATAGTTTACTAAAATATTGAATAATCTAAGGTTCTTAATATTTTCTAGCAAAGAATATGGCCCTGACAAAAGCACGCCTGTTACGTGCTGGAAAGCTGACAGCTGCGTTAGGAGATGAACAGGTTCGATGGGAAGAAAGCATAGAGAAATTTCAGGAGGAGATATCGAACATCATTGGGAACGTGTTTATAGCAGCGGCTTGTGTGGCTTATTATGGGGCTTTCACAGCCCAGTTCAGGCAATCAGTGAGTAAACCTCCTGTCTGTAAAGAGCGGTGAGAAGCAGCTGAAACTGGGTGGGTACAGAGAAGCGTTCATTTTTCTGAGGTCAGATGGAGGCTCTCTACTATGGAGTTCACCAGAGTGGAAATGTACATGTCTCACAGGATCGATCCCTTTTTCCCATTGGTCCACCCTTAGGCTTTCTTAACATGTTTCTTCCTTTCCTTCTCCAGTCTTAGAAAGTTCTTTACCACTTATGCAACATAAGAACCTGGGGGAAGTGAATGAGATAGTAAGTCCCTAAACTTTTTTGTCAGAACTAGCATGTAAAATCAACCAGGATACAATGTCCTGCTCCGGACGACTGGGAAATGGGAGGGAGCAGGATTAATTTGAGGTTTCGTGGGCTTTCATCTTTATGAAAAACTTATTATTTATCAGGGAATAAAATTCCCATCTACATGCACTTTTTAGGAAAAAAATATTGGGAAAGATTTTATAGTTATTTTTATGAAATACTTCCAGTTGCACCCACAATCATTATGACAACCCTGAACTTCTCTACATGCTTCCATATTTTCTCAAGAGAGGCAATACAACCCTGGTTGAAAATTACTGTTAACAACCCAGTCATTTACATGTGAGAAAACTGAGGTCCAAACAGAGGGAGTAAAATACCAAGGGCATAGTTAATTATTTAGTTCTAGCACCAGGTCTCCTGATTTTTAGTCCATTTTTGGGGGAGGAGAGTGTCCCATCCTGTTTCCAAGATGTCTATAGAGACTGGTAGGGCCTACCTGTTCCAGCCACTGCATGGTAGACAGCTTTTCATTACTGTAACCAAAGTATCCATGAAAGAACAACTTAGAGGAGAAAAGTTTATTTTGGACTCACAGTTTCAGAGGTTTAGTTCTTGATCAGCCAGCTCCATTGCTCTGTGTCTAAGGTGAGGCAAAACATTATGGCAGAAAGGCATGGTGGAGGAAAGTTACTCAGCTCATGGCAGCCAGGAAGAAGAGAGAGAACATAGGGAGCCAGGGACAGAATACAATCCCCAAGGCTCACCCCCAGGTAACCCTATTTCCTCCACCCATGCCTCATTTGCCTACAAGTACCACCTAGTAATCCATTCAAATTATTAAGCCATCAAATAGATCCACTGATTAGGTTACAGTTCTTGTAATCTAATCATTTCACCTCTAAACATTGCCAAAATAGATACCATATTTCCAGTACATGAGTTACTGGGGGGACACTTCATATCTAAACCATAACATATTAGTTTCCTCTGCCCTTCATATTTTGTGTGTGTCCTAGTTTACTGAGTATTCCTGATTATACATGTAAATTTTCCTCCCTTTTCAGCTTATAGAGTGTTGGATCCAGGACTGCCAGTCTCTGGACATCCCAATTGATCCTTCCTTCAGTCTCATTAACATACTTGGAGATCCCTATGAAATACGGCAATGGAACGCTGATGGGCTGCCACGTGACATGATATCAACAGAAAATGGCATTTTGGTTACTCATGGGAGACGGTGGCCTTTGATGATTGATCCCCAAGATCAGGTATGTAACAAATGCTTGAGATTAAAAAGTAGCCAGTTAGCTCTGTTTAATATTGATCTATCTATTAAAAATTATAAAAGTAGACTTTAACATATTTATAAGATCATGGAAATTTAGACCTGGAGGAGAGTTTGGAGCTCTTTCAGTGTGGGTTCCTCATCTTATGGACATAGAAAGTAAGGGATGTGGGTAAGTGTTCTCTACCTTGATTTTAACTGGTTAAGTTTAGGGGATTGGCCATTAGTTTTTTGTTTTCTATGGGAATAGAAATTGACAGAAACTCATTCCATGAAGGTCTGCAAGGTCTAAGGAATCAAAATGAATTCAAGGAATGATAGGATTTAGAGCAAGTCTGACCAGAATTTTTATAGTCCCATTATCTGTGTTCCTAAATCCACAGATCAGATTATACTAATCAGGGTTCAGAAAAGGGAGCCATTGTAAAAGCAAGAAAGAAACTTGAATACTAAGATAAGTATGGGCTTTTTTCTGGATGGCTCTTTTCTGAATTTGTTTTAATTTGGGCTTGATAGGTGTTTTTATTGGGGAAAGGAGTTTTTTTTTTTTCTTTTTAAAATGTTTTCAATGTTTCTAGATTGAAAAAAAAATTCTAAACTTTATTCTACAACTTTCACTTTCTAGTCATGTATCCTACTCTAAAGCAAATGCTCTGCTCTGTGCGTTCTCATACAGGCAAACCGTTGGATAAGAAACAAGGAAAACAAAAGTGGTTTAAAGATCATTAAGCTTACAGATAGTAATTTCTTACGAATTCTTGAAAATTCCATCCGACTTGGCTTACCTGTCTTACTGGAAGAGGTTTGCTTTTCACATTTCTCATGTTCTAACTTTTAGATTATAGGCCACATCCACATCATGATAAAGACACCAGTCAACTTTCTTTTCAAATTGTCAAACCAGTTGCTTTGTTCCTTAAATGGTACTTTTTCTAGGAGAAAGAATCAGTTGGTTGAATGAATTTTCTGCTTCAGTCATTGTTTTGGAGTTAAGAGGGATAGCCTCTGTTTTCTGACACTGCTCATTCTTAGACTGCATTGTGTACCTTAAAGGTCAGAAAAATTCAAAGTAGCAGTGCCCCCAGGAACCACTGTCTACATACACAAATGATGTAAAGTCATAAGACATGCTAGTATGTGTGAACATTATTTTCTATGTAGGATTCACGTCAGAATTAGATTAAGTTATGAGTGTTAAGAATAACTATTGTTTAAAAGTGGGAATTGTTGAGTCTATATGTTCCATTTCTTCAGATATCACTCAGAGAACAGATGTTTTTCACATTGTTCACTCAATCAATAAACATTTGAGAACAAACGGCAAATAATATAGATGTGGTTTCTGTCCTCGATTACTTAGAATCTAGTTGAGGATAGGTAGAAAACAGATAAAAAGTAGATGAGATAGAAAATAAGAGAGTGGGGGAGGAAGAGAACTTGTAATAAGGGCTTTGAAGGAATAAGCAGAGTGTGGACATAGCCAGTAAGAAGAGGCATTAGGAGCCTGACTTAAATGCATAGCTACAGGGGATGAGACTTAAGGTCTAACCTCTGTGATGAGCTCAACTATGTGAGGAGCTCAGTGAGAAGGGCTTCCCAGGAAAGGGATCAGCAAATAAAAAGCCATAGGCACAAAGAGATGGCTAATGGCTGTGTATTATCCTTAATTTATCATTCCATTTTTATAAGAGGAGAATTAGTAAGCAAACACATGGGCTGTGAGCCATTTAGCTGTATGAAAAAGTATCTCTGATCAGCAGAAAATTCAGGAAACAGAACTACCTGGGGCAACTTGGCTGCAACCTTTGCATGGTGACTAGCAATAATAATATGTAATCATTCACTAACTAATTCACTATTTCACTAATTAACATGTGCACTCCTTTCCAGACTTGGTTCTCAGTGTTTTAACTTACTAATCCTCCCTGCAAACTTATGAAGTAGTTGCTATTATTATCCCATGTTACTAGTGAGGACACTGAGACATTAAAAAGGTCAAACTGTGCTGCCTTGCCACCTAGAAAATTCATAGCAAGTTACAATACTCCCCACTCAAGCCATAAAGAGCACAAGGGGCCTTGTTGTAGCCAAGCTTTGGCATTTAGCAACACAGAAAACGTTTTGTAATGGATTCCAGATCCTCCTTCAAACTCAGAAGTCACAGAAGAGAGTGAGGTGTCTGACAAACTTTGGCACAGTTACCTTAGTCCAAGCTGAATTCTGGAACCCAGGTTTAGTTTGTGACTCAAGAGGTCTTGAGAGACTTTTCTCACTCATGGCAGTTGACAGAAGTCCTTCTATAATGTTCTTCCCCTAAAAAGAAGAGTATTTTAACTACAAATATAATGAACACTCTAAGGAGTTAGGCCCCTTCAGGAACAGGACACTCTAACTGGACCTTCCCTCTCTCTGGGTCTTGGGGTCATTAGCATTATATATCTAGCTGATTTCTACATTTGTTAGGGCGGTGTTTGCAAACTTGGTCTCCATCCATTCATGGGTATGAAAGAAATTTAGTTTATCTCGATCACCAGTTATTAATAAAATAGAACAGAATATTTATAACAAAATTTTATCATGGATAAGAATAAGTAAGAGTTAATGTGTGTAGTTTCATGTCACAATGTGAAATGATTTGTTACTATGGATTATGGGGAGGAGGCCAACGCCTCACTAAGGGGTCCTTCTTTCTGCTTGTGGAGGTTGTAAACTATTGGAGAAAAATTAAAGTCTAGAATAATTAATGAGTAACAAAAGACACAGTCAGAAAAAAATAGTTTTAAAGGAAGTTTGGAGCACCTGATAGGCCCAGCCCACACAGAAGCTGGAGCTTAACAATTAGAAAATGACCCCTGTGGTTATTTAAGGGGATACATCAAAGGCAGAGATAAGGTTTCAGGTTTTAGGAATAGAGTCTTGCTTCATGATGTCTTGCAATCAACAGGTTGATTGGCATCTTGTTAGGTCATACCCATCTCAGAGAGGTTGTGTGGCTGGCTGGCTGTAGTAGGTCACCCCATTTCTAGTGCTGTGTGGGACCTTTGGCAGAGCTGGGTGAGAGTTCACGTGTATTGGGGCCATCTTATAGCAGGGTGCCACTGTAAGTTCTCAGATAGCAGATTTTCCCACTCAATAGCCTTCCATGCCAATCTGGTCCACACAGATGGCTCTTGACAATGAATTATAGTCAAATTTTAAAAACCATAGGACCCCACCTGACATAAAAGTGACCCTGTAGGGTCCATGGGAAATTCTTGCATGCCTTAGTTCTAACCAACCATCATAATTGCTTTGAGGGATAAACAATATTGTGGCTAATAAATGAATCAAAGCTTAATTGAGAGTCTTTGGCAGTATGAGGTAGGGGTGCATCATGTAGAATAAGGTTTATTCAAAGTAAACTTGAAACCTATGGAATTTTGACAAGTTGATGCCATCCATTGTAACTGCTTGCTTTTTGCATTGTTTTATTTCCATTTTGAAGCTCAAAGAAACCTTGGATCCATCTCTAGAACCTATTCTTTTGAAACAAACTTTCATCAGTGGTGGACGAGTACTCATTCGCCTTGGAGACTCAGATATTGATTATGACAGAAACTTCAGGTTCTATATGACAACCAAGATGCCAAATCCTCACTATCTGCCTGAGGTATGGACCTCTAGTCTGAAATTATCACCCTAACTGGAATTATTGTGTGCAGTGAGTCTCTAAAGTTTGGTGGGTTTCTATCTTTTGGGAGGAAAACTAATAACCCTCTTTTTTTTCTCCCTCTTCCCTCTCCATTGCCCCCTTTCCATCCATGTCTCTCCTTTGGTTTCACTTCTGAGTTCTGATTCTAACTCCAGTCACCCTTCTCCTCTCCATCTAGTTGGGAATCAAGCCCCTGCCCACTGGGTCCCAGATGCACAGCATTGTGCTTTCTCCAACTCCCTTCTGGTCCACAGCTGCTCCTCATAAACTGTGGTCACCATTCCTTCTAATCATTCTCCTCTCTCCTTCAGCAAAGACTATTTATGTCCCTATTATCCCTTGTTATTTGTGGCTGATAAATGAACCAGAGCTCAATTAAAAGTCCATGGCAGTGGCTGGCAGGGTTGGTGGGGATTCAGTGTTTAAGTGTGAAAGCCCATAGCATATACCCCCAAATAAAGTGGTGGTCTGCTTGAAAACTCTCGTAATAGAGTAGAGATGAGAATTTAATCAACTCTGAGATGGAGATAAAGACTACCTCAAATGTTTTAGATGGCTTTTTTTCTGCTGTAACCAAAAGACCTGGCAAGAATAAATTTAGAAAATAAAATTAGAGAATCGTGAGCCAGATGTCCAGTGTCTGTACTTAGAGATAAAAAGGGGAGGAACAGCTTCTTGTAATCTTCCTGATGCTTGTAGACTCTCAGGGATACTATGTGAGCCCCACTTCCATACATCCCTGAGCCACACAGCAAGCAGGAGAACCCCTATTCTAGAGCTCTAGAACCGAAGGCATTTGCAAAAGAAATGAAGGCAAGTGGGACTCCACATTTCCCCTCCCATATGTGCTCTGCCTGTCCACCTTACCCCAGGTGCCCTGAGTGCTACCCAGGTATGGGCACATTTTCACATTCTTCGGGTCTTCATAAGGAAAGGCCTTTACATCAGGACCCCCCCCAAATATTCTTGAACATACCATTCCAAAAGTGTCATTTTTTAATCTTGTTTATTGAATTTTCTCATAGACTTGTGTCTTCACTAGATGTGGTCATGTTGAATGAAATTGACACACTTCTAATGTGGAGAAGGATCATTAAAAGGCTACATCAGAGATCTCCTTGTCATCCTTGAGGAGATTAATTATACAACCACTACCAAGGCTCATTTCCCAAGTTCCATTTCAGAGCTTAGAAAAATGACCAGAGTGTTAACTTGCACTCTTTGATTTCTCATTCGTTTAACTTTTGAGAGGGAGTGCTGCACACAAGACCCAACCATCTCAGGATCCTCAATTTAATCAACTCTGAGATGGAGATAAAGACTACCTCAAATGTTTTAGATGACTTTTTTTTCTGCTGTAACCGAAAGACCTGGCAAGAATAAATTTAGAAAAGGAAAAGTTTATTTGGGGGCTCATGGTTTGAAATGTCTCAGTCTATAGAAAGTCAACTCCATTGCTCTGGGCCCAAAGTGTGGCAGAACTTCATGGCAGAAGAGTGTGGTGGAAGAAAGCAGCTCAGGATATGATACCAGGAAGCAGAGAGAGAGAGCCCCTCTCAACAAGGACAAAATATATATGCCAAAGGCACACACGCCATGACCTACCTCCTCCACTCATATCCTACCTGCCTATAGTTACCACTTAGTTAATCCCTACCAAGAGATTAATGCACTGATTAGTTTAAGACTCCCATAACTCAATCATTTCACCTCTGAACTTTCTTACATTATTTCACACATGAGCTTTTTGGAACACCTCATATTAAACCATAACCATGAAGGATTTATATTTTATGTTAACTGCATGCCTTATTGTATTTATTGGTTTTTGCTACTGATTTGTTCAAGTGATGTAAGAATATTATGATAGCATTAATAACAATTTTCCATAAAAACATTGAGATAAAATATGTAATGCTTGGTTTAACAAATACACTATAAATTAATTACTATAATTAAATTATTTTACCTCATTTAGTCCTCACAACTCCCCTATGAATTGTTACTACTATTATATCAGTTTTTAAATATCAGGAACTAAAAGCTTAACACAGATAATGACTTGTCCAACATCAGACATTCACCCAAGTGTTCAGCTAGAATTAGAACTGAAGCTGTTGATTTTAAAATTTGCTTCTAACTCTTTTCTAACTCATCACGTAGACTTCTGTAACTGTGAGGTTTGCGGAACAAAAATGTTACTCACACCGGTGAGGAAAATCAGAATTTTGAAAGCCATGTTATGCTTGAGTGTGTAGGGGTGTGCCTGTGTGAACAATCAGAGTTGAGACACATTCACCATTATTTATTAATAATGATAAAGCAAGCACTTCTTGTTTTACTAGTCTTACATTTAAACATTTTTATGTACTCCATACTTCTCTTCCAGGTGTGTATTAAAGTTACCATCATCAATTTCACTGTAACCAAATCAGGTCTGGAGGATCAGTTGTTAAGGTAAAAAAGGAGTGTGGGAATCAGGGATGTCATGAGTTTCCTAATGTTTTTGTTTTAGAAATTTTAACGAAGAAAAAATTTTAACGTAAAAAAATCACACATGACTAAATCAAAAAGATAAAATTATATGGCCAAGTTCTTCATCACAATTGCTTACAGTCACCAATCTTGTCATATCTTCTCAAGATCATTCCTACCCATTGTTTAGGCAAGGCTGGCAGCCCAGCCTGCCTCTTTTTCTCACTAGGATCTCCAATCTTGACAAGTGAATGAATTCAGTTGTTCCATTGTTTCTAAACACTCACTGCTCCAAATCTGTGAAAAAGTTAGCACTCCAAATTTTCTCATTTCCCTGGTCTCTTAATATTTTCCTACTTAATTGTTTCTACATTTGTCCACTTCACAAAAAATAAATATCCCTTCCTCAGTATATTCTGTATGTGATTAAATTCCCATATCCCAAAAATGGGGTTATGAATTATTAATCTTTGGAATTAGCCAAGATATTCAGAAGGCAAAATTTTAAAAATATTTATTAAAATAATAATGTTAATGTTTATTTAAACTAAGTATATCTGTATAAATATGCCATAATATACTTACATGTATGTATATATATATATATATATATATATATATATATATATATACACACACACACACACACACACAGATATATACATATATATGGTCATACTGCACTTACTAACAAGGATACAACCTTGGGAGATATGTCATTAGGCAATTTTATTGTGAAAAAATAAAGTATAGTTACACAAATACAGCTACAATACTAGGCAACTTAATCTTATGGGACTCTGTTATATATGAAGTTCATTGTAGACCAAATGTTACAGCACACTGCATGACTGCGTTTAACACACACACACACACACACATATGAATATGTGAATATGTGCATGTGTTCATTAACTCTAAAGGAAAATAAAATTTGGAACCATTTTCAAAACTATATATAATTTGGCTGGGCATGGTGGTACATGCCTATAATCCCAGAGACTCAGGAGGCTAAGGCAGGAAGATTGCAAGTTCAAAGCCAGCCTTAGCAATTTAGCGAGACCCTAGGCAACTCAGCGAGACCTCATCTCAAAATTTAATTTTTTTTTAAGGTCTGGGGAATGTGGCTTAGTGGTTAAGTGCCTCTGGGTTCAATTCCCAGTACCAAAAAAAAAAAAAAAAACCAGGCTGGGGACATAGCTCAGTGGTAGAGTGCTTGTCTAGCATGCAAGGTTCCTAGTTAGATACCCAGCATTGCAAAACCCATATATACACATTCAAGTCAGGATTATTCTGTACTTGCACCTGCTATCACTAATAAGCTTAAGACTTATTTTCCTAGTTTCTTTTAGAAATTATTCTGCCCACTGATATCTTGCTTAACTTCTTGCTAATTAAAGGGTATCTCACCACATTTTATGCACATATTCTAAAGTCATGACTGAACATTTTACATACCAGTTTATTCCTTTGAATAGCTAAGCTTAGCTGTGTGGCTATACTGTCAGACTGCCTGGGACAAGTAGAACTACCCTAATGAGAAAAAGGGAAATTCTTAGATCAGTCATGGGGTACAGAGTCTCTCTGAAATTTCTCCCTGACCAACAGCATTGAAACGGGAAGCTGACAGCCTACAGCCTGTGTGAGGATGTAGCTCAGTTTGCCTAGTGGTCTGACAAGCCATCACTATTCCAGCCATTCCCTTCTTTGCTGAGCTCCCAGGCAGGCAGCACTCATTGCATTCAATTGTTGATTGGATGAAATTTCCTCCAGGATATTAACCATTTTCAAACACTGCCCTTCAGTCATTCAGGGATTAGACAAGTCCCCTTTCCAGCTTTGAGAAATTCCATTAAACTACCCAAACAGCTCACCTCTGCCTTACTTTCTACTTTCAGAAGCTGTAACTCACCCTCAGAGACTTTCTTGGCCATCCCTTTTGATTTTTAACTTGCCTGATTTGATTTATGCTTCTCCTAAGCTGTTATCTGAGCTCACCTTTATCTTAAAAAACTCTCCCCCAATTCCTCACTTCTGAAAAAGTTATTTAAACAATCGAATTTGAAGTGATAATTTCTTTTATTTTTCATATAATGATGTTAAAGTGTCTGAATTCAGCATGTACATAACATACAATGGGTTATTCTATGAGGCAATACATCATAGTGTACTAGGGTCAGCAGACTCAGGTGCAAGCTTGACTCTGCTTCTCATAACTGTGTGACCTCAGGAAGTGACCCACTACTGAGGGGGAACCACAGTGTCTAACTCCAGGAGCCTTCAAGTGGTTAAAAGAGATAATTCACATAAAACTCATAGTAGGGTGTCTGGCATGCATGATGCTTAATGAAGATGAGTTCCTACAAACCACAGACTGGGAGCAAATTATAAAAGGAAAAGTGAAAAGAGATGAAAGTTCACATGTTTATATTAGACAAGGGTAAAGCCTCTTATTTAGATACAATCAAGAACTGTTGATGAAGAGCTATTTGGCAAGACACCTCATGTTCAGGAACAGAAAGATTAAATAACATAAAGTTACACTCAGGACATACAGAATTCTTAAAGAAGGCTTTTAAAGAAAACATATTTGGTGTCAGACTATAAATATCATTTTGAGGCATTTTTTATTTAACAGTTTATCTTTAAGTTTATTCTCTGTCTGTGCACATATAAATATACACCTAGAGAAAATGCTTTTGGAAGGATGTATGTCAAATAATGGTTACCTCTAAGGAAGAAATTAGGTTTGAAGATGGAGCTGATGAATAGGAACTTTTACTTTATTCATTTATTTTCTTTTTTATAAAAATGAATTCATGTATTGCTTATGCAAATAGTAATAAACATTTTAATAATTTTTAAAAATACTTTTTTCATAGAGGCATTGAGATTTCATAATTTCTTGTGTCATTATAAAAAAGAACATTCCAAGAATTATTTTCACTTTGGCACAGCCAAGCATTAAAGAGAGAGATTGAATGATGAGAGAGCAGCCAACAGGCTCTCTACAGGATGAGTAGAAGTGACAGTAACTTTGATTGAGTGCATGTCTCTGAAATGTAGGATATAGAATAAGAATTGACATAGTTCTGGTGAAAAGCCACTGTATAAATCCAATGAAAGAGGGGCATTGTGTATTCAAATTCAGCTAATAGCATGAATATTTAGCTAGACAGCACTGAGAATAAGGATAATTCCAAACAGAAAACAGACTCAACTATAGTTCACTGACAAAAGCACAATTCAGTTATTCCAACCTTGGTTCTAGTGATGTCGTACGACTTGAAAGACCCGAATTGGAACATCAGAGAGTCCAGCTTATTGTAAGGATCAACAGTGATAAAAACCAGTTAAAGTCTATTGAAGACAAGATCTTAAGAATGCTCTTTACATCTGAAGGAAATATTCTCGACAATGAAGAACTTATTGATGCACTCCAGGACTCAAAGGCAAGTGAATATATTCAGTGTGTATAGAAAATGTGTCATTTTCAAAAGTTATAACTACAGCCTTTGAGGGTCCTGCAAGAGCTTATAAAGCAAGAATGAGACCACCTATAACCTGCTAGGGGCATGCATAAGAGTGTGCCTGGCTATCAGGCCTCCTCACAAACCAGGGAACAATAGAGAATTTGTAGACAACTGATAATTTCTTCTCTTCTCTGTGATTTTTAGTAAAGTATATAATATTTAAAAAGTAGGAAAAGATAGACATCAAAAGGAACAAATATTTATAAATTTGTATTAGTGTCACCTTTTCCAAGAAGCCTCCCTAGTACTTATAGCTAGAATTAACCTCCTGCTCCTTGGAACTTCTGTAGTGCCTTATCCAAACCTGTATTATAGTACTTTTTGCTGTTTACCTGTGTCATGGTTATCTAGTTCCTTGTCCTGTTTCTTCTGTTAGATGACTGATTTCATGCAGTGGGAATCTGTGACTCATCTTGATAGTCCTTTTCCAAGGGTTAAACATGATGGTTGCACACAAATGATAGTATGATAAAGTTTTACACTAAACATACAATCCTGTAGTGAATTAGTTCTCAGATTTAAACCATCATTTAAGAAATGTATAGGAGCACAGCCTATAAAATGATCTTATCAATTCATGAAAAACAAAATATTTTAGGGAAAAAAATCTCCCTTTGACTTTACTAGATAAGGAACACATAGGTATGTTTTTGCCTCTTGTTGATGTCTAATATGATTTGTTGCTTTATATCCTACAGTCTCTTTTTTTTAAAGAGACAGTGTGTGTGAGAGAGAGAGAGAGAGAGAGTTTTTTAATATTTATTTTTTAGTTTTCGGCGGACACAACATCTTTGTTTGTATGTGGTGCTGAGAATCGAACCCGGGCCGCACGCATGCCAGGCGAGCGCGCTACCACTTGAGCCACATCCCCAGCCCTCCTACAGTTTCTTGAGACCTTGGTATTGAAAGAACGATAAACAAATTATTCTGGGTCTGTCATTTCCCTTCTCTTTTTATTTGTTTACTGGTCTCTATTCTCCTTTCATTCATTCTTCCTTGGGTTTTTAATTTCTGGAAAACTATTAACCCATTTATTTTTACATTTTACTAATTTTACATGCAAACTGTTTAAAGAATGAAGGCTTTCTATAAGGCTTATTATGATAAACAGTATTCATTCCTTGTCCCCACTCCCCCCACCCACCCGTGGCTCCCTTCAGAGAGGTAAGTACTTTCATTTTACACATTAACCTTGCCTATGCTTCTAACACACACACACACACACACACACACACACACCACTACCACCACCACTATCACCAACTACAATAACCTTTCTATAGCCCAGCCTCCTACTATAGTTATTCCCTGATCATAACCTAGAGTCGATATTTCTATTGCCTCAGGGTGGAGATCTGGCTGTAAGTGTTTGGGAGGCTGAACGAGGAGGTATGCATATATTTACCTAATTATTGTTTTCAGAATGGTACCCACCTCTCAACTGTGCCTGATTTCCTCCCATAAAAGGGAGGGGAGACGTTTTATACCTTCTCCAGAGGGGGAATTTTTGTTTTTTTTTCTGGTAGGGAAAAGACAACACTGGCTGGATGTATGAGAGACACAACCTGGGAGCTTTTCAACCAATTTATATTTTAGGCCCTTCCCACTTCCAGCAGTGCCTCTTATTAAATCCTGTGTCTTTAAGGAGAATTGTGTTTTATAAGTTGGTAAATTTCTGGCTTTCCCCTTCCTTCAGGTTAAGAATCCATTTTTCCTGGGTCTTCAAAGTCACAACACTCTTCAGTATGGTCTACAGATCCCAACATTTTATGGATATTTCCTCTCCTGTTCGCCCATATTTGTGGGTTTGCACTGCTTTTTAAATACCTTTAGTATGATTTTATCATTGTTTCAGTAGGGAATGAAGCAGTTGCATGTGTTCTTACTGACATTTTTTCCTATCAATACCAGGTTCTTTTATTTATTTTCAAGGAAATGCTTTGGAGACATCCTTTTTTGTAGAGATCAGACCAAGTGATCATTGCCTATATTTCCTGCTACTTTCTACCTATAGTTTGTACTTCTTCCAACTCCCACAATCCTTATTTTAAAATATGTCTTATATTTTGTAACCATTGCTGAAGCCTCATATCTCTAGGGCATAATTTCTGTAAGTGGTTGCCAACCCCCCAACCAAAGTATATAATGTTCTAACATTCTCAGACCAAAAAAAAAAAAAAGAAAGAAAGAGAGAAAGAAAATGATCCACTACTCTTTCTCTTCAACAATGGGTTCTGAATTATCAGGGCTTTGTGCTCTTCAGAGAATAAAGAACCGTTTGCTAGTGGGTCCTCATGATTGGATTGCTCCCATACCAACTTTCTTTTTCTACTCATTTGTGCAAGTTTTAGTTGAGTACATTATTAAGATTGGGGGACTGGTGCTGTAGCTCAGTGGTAAAGCACTTGCCTCCCATGTGTGAGGCACAGGGTTCAATCCTCAGCAACACACAAAAATAAATAAAGATACTCTGTGTTCATCTACAACTAAAAAAATATTTTAAAAAATAAGTTTTTTATTTTAATAAGGAATTCCCCATTTGACTCCACCCTTTATTTTCCCCCAACTTCCTGAGGGGCAGTTACAAGGAGACTTTGAAACTTCTGATGCCCAGACAGCTTCTGCACTGAATCCCTCCCCTTCTTTTCCTGTGGGCTGGAGTGAATAAGTCTAGACTTACAGTCTTCCTTATGGTAGGAAGCCTCTAGCCATAGGTGGTTATTGAGCACTTAGAATGTGACAAGTCTGAGTTAAGATTTGTTATTATAATATACACACCAGATTTCAAAGATTTACATAAAAATGTAAAACAGCTCAATACTTTTTAATATTGACTGTTATATAATATTTTAGTTATATTGAGTTAAACAAAATGTATTATTAAAATTCATTCCACTTGTTTCTCTTTATTTTTAATGAGTTTAGAAAATTCTGGATTATATGTGGCTCACATTATATTTCTATTGGAAAGCACTGACACAAGTCTCTTGATTCCCAGTTAGCTCTCCCTTCCACTGAGCAAATGCTGAGCAGCCAGTTCCCATACAGATTTTTCATGGTCCTGCTGGAAGCCCTTTGACTCTCTAGAGATAGAGAAATAATAGGGGAAGGAAGAGGAAACAGGAACAGATGGTAACAGAAAGAGAGAATCTGAGAGACACAGAAGGCAATCTTGGAAAGTCCATTGGCTAAAAGACTCCCCAGAGCCACAAACTCCAAATACAGAAAACCTAAAGAATATCCAAAGACTTTAAAATGTCTCCAGCTCACTTAGGTTTATAGCACTTCACACCTGGGAGTGCTGGGTAAAGAACATTATCATCCTATTTATCCAGGGTGGAATTTAGGACCACTTTTATCTAGCCTCTCTTCACCCACTCTGCTGGGCATTGTTCAGGGTGTCCCTTCTTTCTTCAGACATTATTTCACCATGTATACCATGCACTGTTCACATGGAAGTTAGGGAGCAATTAGGCATGCTGCATTAGTGTTTCCACTAAGTAACTCAAATATGTGACTCAGAGAAGTCCTGCTCCAATCTTTTCAGAGCTAATTAAATTGCCTATTTCTCTTCACCTTTTCCAAACTCTGGAGGGAACAAGGGTCAGCTCAGTCAGAGGAGAATCATTGAGTTCTGACCCACAATCATTGCATCTGGAGTCTCCCTTATTATAATCACAAACTCATTCCATTCTTCTTTCTTAGTCCTGACTGGATATATAAAAATTCCTACTGTTTTTCTGAATTACACCCTTAAGAACTTATATGTTTATTCAGATCACTTCCGGTGCCATTAAAACCAGGCTGAAAGAAGCAGAGTCCACTGAGCTGATGATCAATGCTGCTCGTGAGAAGTATCGTCCAGTAGCCACTCAAGGCTCTGTTATGTACTTTGTTATTGCAAGTCTCTCAGAAATAGATCCTATGTATCAGTATTCATTAAAATATTTTAAGCAGGTAAGTAAATTGTTGTTGTTAGTGAAATTCACCTTTTTTATTTCCTTTTATACCTTGTTGTTTCTTGCCTCAGACAAGCCATGAGTCTAGTTCTCAGGTAAAATCCTCCAAGAATTTGGATCCACACAAATGGTTCAAGAGTGGCCCCATCCACTGTGTTTCCTAAAGGATTGGAGGGCTCCATACAGAACACTATAGAAGAAGGGAAGAAATCTGCTTTGCAAGTTTCCTTTTCTCTTGATTTCCTCAGCTAAGCAGTGTGCCTTTTTGCCTTCTTGCCCCCCTTTCTTTTAAGAGTCACTGCTCTGCACTACTAGTTCTTTTTTTTAATTTGTTCTAATTAATTATACATGACAGTAGAATGCATTTTTATTCATTGTACACAGATGGAGCACAATATTTTATTTCTCTGGTTGTACATGATATAGAGTCACACTGTTCATGCAATCATACCTGTGCCTAGAGTAATGATGTCTGTCTCGTTTTACTATCTTTCCTACCCCCATGCCCTTTCCACTCCCCACACTCTCCTTTCCCCTATCCAAAGTTCCTTCATTGTTCCCATTATGGATCAGCATCCACTTATCAGAGAAAACATTTGGCCTTTGGTTTTTTAGGATTAGCTTACTTTGCCTAGCATGATGTTTTCCAACTCCATCCATTTACCTTGCCTGTTTCTTGCCATAATTTTATTCACTAACAGAGTGTAAAGACCCTTTCTCTGTAGTGGTCTATTTTCCTTCCTGCTATTAGTGTTTTCTTTGGTGCACATTAGATCTTTAACAACACCAGCTTAATCAAATTGGTTTGTGTCTCTTTTTTCATTTTCTTTTTAGAATGTTTTCTACAACAGGCTGCCAGCCCCTTCTTCTCCACTGCCTTTGATTTTGAGGGATCTCTTTCCTTCTTTGCTTTCCTTTATCTCATATTCATAACTGAATTTCATCTGTTTTCTTATGAAGAAGGATATTTTTCTCTGGGTATCAACACTCCATTATCTACCAAAAGCAAATTAGATGTTACAAAGCTTCAGCAAGCTTCGTCAGTTTTGCTGAAGACTTCCATGGGACACAGAAAGTTTGCAGTGTTTATAACACAGCAAAATTTATCAAGCATCCCCAGCAAGCTCCCATTTGCCTCCAGTTACTACTAGGTTCCAGTGGCCCCTTCCTCTCAGCCCACCCACACATGCCTCACTGGCTCAGTCTTTGACCTTCCAATTAAAAGCAAATAAACTGGCGGGGTACAGCAGTACACGCCTGTCATCCCAGCAGCTTGGGAGGCTGAGGCAGGAGGATCACGAGTTCAAAGCCAGCCTCAACAAAAGCAAGGCACTAAGGAACTCAGTGAGATCCTGTCTGTAAATAAAATAGAAAATTGGGCTGGGAATGTAGCTCAGTGGTCAAGTGCCCCTGAGTTTGATCCCTGGTACCCAAAAATAAACAAACAAACAAACTTTATTATGTATATTTAAGATGTACAATGTGATGTTATGAAATACATATAGATAAAAAGGTTACTACATTGAAGCAGATTAGCCTGTCATCTCACATAGTTACCCATATTTTTGTTTTTATGGAAAAAGCAGTTGAAATCTATTCATTTAATATTATCCTAAATACAACACATGTTGTATATTAGATCTCTAGGCTTGTCATGCTGTATGTCTTTTATTTTGTGGATACAGCCTACATCTCCCCATTTCCTTCCCTACACACTGCCTGCTCTCACCACCCTTTCCTATGCAGAAAAATTTAATTTACTCTCATTTTTCTAATCCTTTGTGTTTATACCCATAACACAATGCAAAAAATGAAGTTCTTATTTATCATCACTCAGAGTAGAAAAGAGTAGAAAACTGTAAATATACCCTCTTCCTCTTTAGCATATCAGCTGTACTGATTTCTTCCAAAATGAAATCATGGCATTTGCAGGTAAATGTATGGAACTAGAGAACATCATGCTAAGTAAAATAAGCCAATCCCAAAAAACCAAAGGGCAAGTGTTTTCTCTGATAAGTGGATGTTGATTACATGGGGTGGGGGTTGGAGGATATGGATAGGGAAGAATAAAGGCACTCTGGATTGTGCAGAGGGAAGTGAGGGGAGGAGTGGGGCTGTGGTGTTGGCAAGGACAGTAGAATGAGATAGACATTATTATCCTATATATATATGACTACTGGTGTGATTCTGTACCATGTACAGCCAGAGGAATGAGAAGTTGTGCTCCATTTGTGTACAATATGTCAAAATGCATTCTACTGTCATGTATAACTCATTAGAACAAATTTTTTAAAAATAGCAGGGAGACCGGTAGAATAAAATAAGGGGATCAGGGGGAGAGATGGGAGGTCCTGGGGAATGAAATCAATCAAATATTATAGTATTTTACTGTGTGCACATATGAATATATTATATAACAAATCCCACTGTTGTGTGTAATTATAATGTGTCAATAAAAAGGGGAAAATGCCTCCCTTGCAAGCTTAAATGCCACTTTCCTGCTGCTGGAGCTGCACACATCTGGAGGTTAACCAGGCTGGACATCTGAAATGCCTCACTCACATGACTGGGCTGTTGGCCCCAGTGCCTACAGTGGCCTCTCCATGTGGTTTGGCCTTCTCACTACAGGGCAACTGGGTTCCAAGAAAACGTCTCCTCAAAGCACAGGTGCAAAGAAACCAAGGTGGAAGATCCAAGGCTTCCTCTGAACTAGCCCTGGATGTCATGCAACAGCACTGCTGACACTCTGTTGGTCAAGCAAGGTCACTAAGGATACCCCAGATTGGAGAGGAGGGAATTTAGACTCCATCTCTCACTGGAAGGAGTAGCAAACATTTCAATGGTCTTTCATCCAGCACATTTGATATGCTGCATATGATGCTTACTTACCTCACGTTGCTTTGCATGACAGCATTTCCCTCTGGCTGCAGTCTGACCTACCAGGAGTAAAACCTCACCCATCCCTATATGGTCTAAGGCCACCTTTGATCCTCTTGTGCCTAATCCCACAATGCCACCATCTCTACTGTTTTCCCAATGTCCTGATAATGTAGGGCACCTTTACATTTCAAGACAAATTCTAGCACATTGTTTCCACATCCTAAAAGTTATCTTGGGAAAGTGCTGAAAAGAGTGCACAACCTTGCCTTGCCCTTATGGTTTTCATTCTAAAATAAAGAGTTTGTCAAATCTGAGTTTATGATGTGAAAAGACTAGTCCTGCCAGGTAACCTCCATTTCCAAAACTTCCTGTCTCACATCAAGATGATCCATTTTAAACATTGTCAAGAGATTGGCATTGGTCCATTTGTGAAAAATGGGAAAGGAAGGGGAGTGCAGAAAATAAATATCACATTTCAATTTTGGATGAAGCCTAGGTTTTTCAGTATTCACCTCCCATGATGCTGTTTGCTCACTCAATCTAGGGTGGGGAGGGATAGGAGGGACCAGGATTTTCTTTCTTCACAGAAAATGAATTAAATCAGACATATTTTTCCCTCTTCCACACAGTTGTTCAATACAACAATAGAAACTTCTGTGAAGACAGATGATCTACAGCATCGCCTGCAAATACTACTGGAACAAACTCTCCTAACTGCTTATGTCAATGTTTCAAGAGGTCTTTTTGAACAACATAAGCTCATCTATAGCTTTATGCTCTGTGTTGAGATCATGCGTCAGCAAGAATTGCTAACTGAAGCTGAATGGAATTTCTTTCTCCGAGGTTCTGCAGGACTGGAAAAGGTACCTATTACACATTTGGATGGGGCATGTTATTATAGATAGAGCCCATAAGCACATACCAGTGCTCCATGAAGACCATGGTAGCTGAAGATTATACACTTGACTGTGTGTGGCCCAGTGTAGAGGAAGCTGTAGGTCAGGAGGCCCATTATTATTACCTCCAGCTAGCTGCATAATTTTGGTAACACTTTACCTCATTATGCAACAGTGCCCTCATCTGCAGAAAAGGAATATCAGGAGTAACCAGTGAGCTGGTAGAAGTGAACCTGTTTTTAAAAGTTAACTATCTTGTAAAATAGGAAGAGCTAAAAATCCAGCAAAAGATAAGGCTTCACAGATTGGTCAATACTCTTTGTGAAATCATGACCTCTCTTGCCTAGAGATCTCTCTCACTAGAAACTATGGGCAGTATATAATAATTTGATTGCTATCTCCTATGATACTGTAATACAAGTTCTAAAGTTCTCTTCTTCATGATCATTCTTTTGTCTAATTTTCTCTAGCTGCTTAAACTGACCTAACTTGTCTATGTACTATAAGCCTTGCACCTCACAGAAATGAGTTCCCACCCCTTGCCTTGAGATTCCCTCTTAGCTCTACTCTAAACTCTTGATTTGGCCTTTTTTTCTCAAGTTCTGTCCTTGGATCCTGCACACCTGACATATGAACCTGTTTGCTAGGATTCAATCCTCAGTATATCACTGAGAGGTTGGACTTGATGTTTTTATTTGACTCTCAGCATCCCATGCTCCCGAGACAAGCCCATCTAAGACCTTCCTCCCCAACTCCTGCCCATCTTGCAAACAAACATATTCTGTTAATTCTCTTTGGATGTATCTTATTTCATATGAACAGAGGACTTTTTTGTATATCATAGATATACATATGTATATCATCTCATTTATTCTTCTCAGTATTATTCTTTTTAATCTTTTTGGGGGGCACTTAGCCACTGAGCTATATCCATAGCCCTTTTATTTATTTTTTTATTTTGAGGCATGATCTCACTAAGTTGCTTAGGTTCTCACTAATTTGCTGAGGCTTGTGATCACACTAATTGGTTGAACTTGTGATCCTCCTGCCTCAGCCTCCTGAGCCACTGGGACTAGAGACATGTACCACCAAGCCTGGCTCAGTATTATTCTTGAGTAGGTTCCTGATTTTATCTCTATTACAGGTAAGGTAATAAGGAAGGCCCATAAAGGTTAAATTACTTTATCATAGCAGCCTTGTTTACAGTTTTCTCATGTAGAGGTTTGAAGGATTTTCCAGAATCACACTAATGCATGGCAGGGTCTGATTAGTCTAAGCTTCTAAAGTCCTTGCCCATTTCAGTATCAGCTACTGCTTTTCATGAGCAGTATATTTTGAAAAGGAGTTTAAAATATGTTTTAAATATGAACAAACTAGAAATTTAAAATTACCCATAAATCATCTTTCCTATAGCCTGTATGTACTTCACATATTTGTCACATTTTGGTAATTCCAAAAGATCTAGCTAAGATAATTGAGGAAGGTAGCTACATTAAACAACAGATTTTCAATACGGATGAAACAGCATTCTGTTGGAAGAAGATGCCATCTAAAGCTTTCATAGCTAGAGAGAACTCAATGCCTATCTTCAAAGATTCAAAGGCAGGGCTGACTCTTGTTAGGGGCTAATGCTGGTAATGGTTTTACATTGAGCCAATGCTCAAAAATGCTAAGGCAATTAAGAATTATACTCTATCTACTCCACCTGTGCTTTAAAAATGGAACAACAAAATACAGATTTACAACAAAATATGATTTACTGCATATTTTAAGTCTGCTGCAAAACTTACTGCTGAGGGGGAAAAAAGTATTGCTTTCAAAATAATATTGTTCACTAATAATGCACATACTCACCCAACATTTTTGACAGAGATTACAGTATTGATGTTTTCATGGCTGCTAACAACCACAGATCAAGAAGTAATTTTGACTTTCAAGTCTTATTACTTAAGAAATAAATTTTATAAGACTACAGCTACCAGATCTATCTACCTTTAATAGATCTGGGCAAAGTAAATTGAAAAGTATTCAACATTCCAGAACCCATTAAGAACATTTGTGAAATGTGAGAGGAAATCAAAGTAGCAACCTTAACAGAAGTTTGGAAGACATTGTCTTCATGTCACATGGATGGCTGACTTCAATGGTGGAGGAAACTGTAGATGTGGTAGATATAACAAGAGAACTAGAATTTGAAGTGGAACTTAAAGATTTGGCTGAATTGCTGCCATCTCATGATAAAACTTTAACAGATGAGGAATTGATTCTTGTGGATAAGCAAAGAGAGAGATTTCTTGAGATAGAATCTACTTCTGGTAATCATGTTTTTGACATTTCAAAATAACAACAAGGGATTTAGAAATATAACTTAGTTTATAGAGAAGCAGTAGAGGAGGGACTCTAATTTTGAAAGAAGTTCTGTGTATAAAATGCTGTCAAATATCATCATATACTATAGAGAACTCCTTTGCAGAAAACTTCTTTGTTTTCTTATTTAAAGAAATGAAGTTAGGCACAGTGGCACAAGCCTGTAATCTCAGCTACTTGGGAGACTGAAGCATAAGAATCACAAATTTGAGGCCAGCCTCAGAAATTTAATGAAATCTTATCTCAAAATAAATAATTAAGCAAACTTTCCTATGTACACATATGAATATACCATAGTGAATTTCACCTTTATGTAAATCCATGATGTGCTAATTTAAAAAACTGTAAATAGAAGAAAGATCAATAGAGTAGAAGAAAAGGAACAGGGAGGGAGGAGGAGAGGAATAGATGACATATCAGGGACTGAACTGGAACAAATTATATTGCATACTTTTTGTAATCATGTCAAAAGTAACCCCAATATTATGTATATCTATAATGAACCATAAAAAGATTGGGGATGTAGCTCAGTGGTAGAGAAGAAAGGAAGGGGAGGGAGGGAGGGAGGGAGGAATTGACACAGCTACTCCAGCCTTCAGCAACCACTACCTTGATCAGTCGCAGCCATCAACTACAAGGCAAGATCCTCCACCAGCAAAGAAACTATAACTTGCTGAAGGCTTAGGTGATTGACTGCATTTTTAGCAACAAAGTATTTTTAATACTTCATGGTATGTACATTATTTTTTAGACATGATGCTATTATACACCATAGACTATAGCATAGCATAAACATAACTTATATGCATCAGGAAATCAAAAAATTCATGTAAACCAATTTATCCCAATATTTATTTTATTGCAGTGATCTGTAATTGAGCCTGAAATATCTCCAGAGTATCCAAAGTACTCCTGTATAGTTTCTTTTTTAAGAGAATTAAGTCTTCCAAAACTGACTGTGGTAATAATGGTAGCAACATATCTGTTAATATACTAAAATCATTGGATTATATATTTTAAATGAGTGAATCATATGACATGCAATTTTTATCCAGTAAATCTGTTTTTATATATTCAGGAAATTCTCGAAGAACTAGTTTAAGTCTGTAATCACAGCTGTTTCTCTCTTTTTTTAACTATTTACCCACATGTACGTGCTTCATAGAATGTTGCCAGATTACATAATAATCTTCCTAGAGATGTCTAGGACTGAAATAATTAGATATGAACTCAGTAATGTGATATTGTTACTTGTCAAGAACCATCCATACTATGTATGTACCAGATCAGCATGGAAATCCATTGAGTGGGGAAATCTGGTGTCTGGGAACTTACAGTGGCAACTCTGCTGTAAGATGGCCCAAATACATGTGAACTCCCACCCAGCTCTACCAAAGATCCCACACAGCACTGAAGATGGGGTGACCTGCTACAAATATCAAGCCACACAGCCTCTCAGAGATGGGTGTGACCTGCCAAGATGCCAACTAACCTGCTGACTGCAAGATAGCATGAAGCAAGTCTCCACCCCTGAAACCTTATCCCTGTCTTTGATGTACCCCTTTAAATAAATCCCAGTAGCCAATGTACTTATTTATTTATTTATTATAATTTGTTACATATGATAGAATGCATTACAATTCATATTACAAATATAAAACACAATTTTTCATATCTCTGGTTGTACAGAAAGTATAGTCACACCATTCATGTCTTTATACATGTACTTAGGGTAATGATGTGTGTCTCATTCCACCATCTTTTCTACCCCTATGCCCCCTCTCTTCACCTCCCACCCCTTTGTCTTATCTAGACTATACAGATTTAATGCAATTCCAATCAAAATCCCAATGATATTCCTCATAGAAATAGAAAAATCTATCATGAAATTCATCTGGAAAAATAAGAGACCCAAAATAGCTAAAGCAATCCTTAGCAAGAAGAGCAAAGCAGGTGACATCACTATATCAGACCTTAAACTATACTACATAGCAATGGTAACAAAAACAGTATGGTATTGGCACCAAAATAGACCTGTAGACCAATGGTACAGAATAGAGGACACAGAGAAAACTCACGTAATTACAATTATCTTATATTAGACAAAGGTGCCATGTATGTTTTTGATACATGGGAAAAAAGATAGCCTCTTCAACAAATGGTACTGGGAAAACTGGAAATCCATATGTAACAAAATGAAATTAAATCCCTATCTCTCACCATGCACAAAACTCAACTCAAAGTGGATCAAGGACCCTGGAATTAAACCAGAAACACTGCATCTAATAGAAGAAAAAGTATGCCCAAATCTTCATCATGTTGGATTAGGCCCCGATTTCCTTAATAAGACTACTTTAGCACAAGAATTAAAATCAAGAATCAATAAATGGGATGGACTCAAACTAAAAAGCTTCTTCTCAGCAAAAGAAACAATCAGTGAGGTGAATAAAGAGCCTACATTTGAGGAGCAAATTTTTAACACACACAAATAGAGCACTAATCTCTAAAAACCCAAATAACACAGGAGCCATTATTTTTATTTTTTTAAAAAAAAATTTTAATTGATTTTTAAAAAATAAATGGCAGCAGAATGCATTACGATTTTTATTACACATATACAGCACAATTTTCATATCTCTGATTGTATATAAAGTATGTTGACCCCAATTCGTGTCTTCATATCTGTACTTTGGATGATGATGTCCACCACATTCCACCATCCTTGCTAACCCCCTGACCCCTCCTTTTCCCTCCCACACCTCTGCCCTATCTAGAATTCATCTATTCCTCCCATGATCCCCCTCCCTACCCCACTATGAATCCACCTCCTTATATCAGAGAAAACATTCGGCATTTGTTTTGTTTGGGATTGGCTAACTTCACTTAGCATTATCTTCTCCAAAACCATCCATTTACCTTCAAATGCCATGATTTTATTCTCTTTATTGCTGGGTAATATTCCATTGGGTATATATGCCACATATTTTTTTTATCCATTCATCTATTGGAGGGCATCTAGGTTGGCTCCACAGTTTAGCTATTGTGAATTGTGCTTCTATAAACATTGATGTGGCTGTGTCCCTGTAGTATGCTGTTTTTAAGTTCTTTAGGTATAGACTGAGGAGAGGGAAAGCTGGGTCAAATGGTGCTTCTATTCCCAGATTTCCAAGGAATCTCCATACTGCTTTCCATATTGGCTGCACAGGAGCCATTTTCTAATTGTTCAGCTCCAGCTTCTGTGTTGGCTGGGTCTATCAGGTGCTACAAGCTTCCTTTAAAAATATTTTTTATGTCTCTGTGTCTTTTGTTCTTCACTAATTATTTCTGACTCATCTTCTCCTGTGGCTTATACCCTCCATGGGCAGGAAGAAGGACCCCTGAGTGAGGTGCTGGCCGCCTCCCCATAGTTATTTGTTTTGGTACAATATTGCTCACTACTCCACTTTCCTCACCTTCTAGGTAAGATTATTCAGAATCTGCTTTGGACTCTAGTTCTATAGAAAAAAATCATTAACCACAAGAATATTTGTGAAGTTGAGGAAGACTGGTGTAAGATGTTGGAGAAGAGCCCAGAAATAGGCTTAACAGATTTAATTTTAACCCTTCACCAGATCAACTTTGTACTCTGCAAATGTCAACCTGAAAAGTTTTTGTCAACTGCACTTCTATACAGAGGTCTACTATATCTTATTACTTGTCCCAGAGAACATACTATTGTAGCTTGAATTTTCACTTAAACAAGGTAAAAGAGCATTTTATTATTGTCTTTGTGAATTATTATTATTTTTTTTTTCCTGTCCTCTGGTAGGATCGCCCTCCTAAGCCTGAAGTTCCCTGGTTATCTACTGCCATGTGGTTTGCATGCTGTGACTTAGAAGAGTCATTTCCAGTTTTTCAAGGAATTACACAATATATATTTTTGCAACCTATTTTCATATGCTTAGGTAATATGACAAAAAAGTCTGCTGTAGGGCATTTGTAAACAGACTCTTTAATCTTAGCTTTAATATCTCCTTTAACCCTCTTCTGAAATGTGAATGTTTTCTACTAGGAAATTATTCACCTTTAAGAAACTGAATTAACTGTTTTCACAATTTCTTGAGTTGAATGGCCCATCAATTTTCAATATTTTATGTTTACTATTATACCCCTTTTAAGAATATAGATTTACCTGTAAATATTGCTTTGGCTGTATCCCATAGATTTTTAAAAAATTTTTATTTAAGGATAACATACATACAGAAAGAATATAAAAACCAAAATTATATAACTATCACGAACCATATACACTCATGAGCCATGACCCAAATCAAAAAATAGAACGGTACCAACATCCCCAAATCCCCTCATACTGCCTTTTCCCCAGAGAAAACAACTGCTCTGAATTAAAACCTTCTATATTGTTTTCCCAACAAGTCTCAATATGTAGCTTTTCAATTCTAAAAGTATACTTTTTATTTCAAAACCACTTAGTATTGGGGGATCATATTTTTATTGTTTATAATCCAGTTATATTATGGAAATTATATTCATGGTTTTCATGAAATTGATTCTTTGTAATTACTTAGACTTTTTTGCTGGTACATGTTCAGATGGTACATTTTCATTTCTATAACTATTCCATGTGCATCATTTCTTGGATACAAGTTTCTATATATAACATTTAGCTCAAACTTATTAATTATGATGTCTTTTTCTGATTTTTTCATGCTTGATCTGTCAAGCATATGACAGAGAGGGATATTTCTGTTATCTTGTGGAGATTTTTGGAGAGTGGAGGCAGGGTTTTTACTTCTTTCTTGACTTTAAGTGGATCATCCATACTCTTATTTATTTAGGCCCCCCTTACTAATTTGAAATTTTATTTGTAATTTTATGATAATTACTCATGCTTCTAATATGATCTTTTAAAATTACAAAATATACATTTATTTAATTTTAAATTCAAAACATTCAAATTAAAGCTTTTAAAATTGTGTTTCCAGGATCTTTTAAGACTTATATTAACTCAAGCCAGTTGGAAGACTATTTTGAATTTCAAAAGGAAGACCAATCCATGAGAGAAAAGGAGGCCATACTCCTGGAATATTGGATCTCAGAATTGAGTTCTTTCCACAAACTAATTCTTATTAAATGTTGCAAAGAAGAAAAGGTAGGGTTTTTTTTTTTATTAATTAAAGAACTGTTATAATTGTTTCTACTAAAGCTCACCAGTCAGTTATGATCCATAAGTTTGTTTGAGACTAACAATGGCCAGGCCTCTAAAAAATAGAGAACATGTTATTTTATACAGAACATGTTATTTTATACAGAAGATAATGAAAGAGAAGACTAGAGAGCCATCCAGGAACTTCATTATCACTTACCTATTGTGCGCTGTTAGGGAACTTATGCCATCTGCATAAATGGTACAGGAGTCTGTTAGAGGCTTTAACAGGGAATTAATCTTAGCAACAATGGGGAGGAAGCATTTGAAGGGTATGAAACAAGTCACCAGACATATTTGAAAACTATTGAAGTAGTCTATGTAAGAAACTGTGGCAACCTGAAATAAGACACAAGTAGTAGATTAAAGAGATGGAGGGGTATGTGATGAGGTGACTGGTGTGGCTCACATTTTTCATTTTGGTGCCAGTATAGATAGTGGTACCAAGAACTAAGCAAACATAAAAAATATGTATAGAAAGATGTCATTGAGTCTACAGTGCTTGTCAGCTATCAGGGACATCTTCTTTGCAACATTTAATAAGAATCATCAGCATTGAGTTGAAAAGTAAAACTATTGAGGTTGTTGGGACTGTAGAGGAATAATACACAGTAAAATAAAGGCTCAGGTGTACAAAGAGTGAAACTCTGATGAGAACCAACTTTCAAGAGGCACAAAGGAGGGATGAAAGGCTTTGAGAAGGAATGAGTCACATGGGCAGAAAAAACAACAGGAGAAAGAAGTGCTACAGGAGTCAATTAGGTATAGAATTTCAGTACACAAAAGTTATCAACAAAATGAATGAAGCATTTCAGATAGTTCCAGTTTTTACATCTGGGCATACATAATCTCTAATTTTATTTTCTAAATAAATTATATTTATTTACCTGCTAAGAATCCAAATAGTGAATTTGGGAGGCACTGGAAGAAAATGGAAGCTGATTCTTTGGGGAGACAGATAAGAGCAGGAGAAGGGAGAGAGAGAGAGAATTAACTGGAACTAACTGGAAAAAGCCAAAGTATAGTTGGCAAATATTAATACAGCTTTGAAGAACTTTTATTTGTCTTCACAGGAACATAGAAAATAGGTTATGGGGTTGACCTGGGATACATATGATTGCAATAAAAGTATAGAAGATACAAGTCCATTGAGAATGTTGGTAAGAGAAGTTCTGGGAAAAGCAAAAGATAAGAAAGCACTTATAAACAAAAAAGGAAATTTCTTTGGAAGCAGATAAAGTTGGACTAGAGGTGTAGAAGGTCTAGAAGAATAGAAGTGGTTGTGATGAAAGTTGAGCTTAAAATTTCTAATGTGGAACAGTTCTAAGTAAAGAAAATGTCCTGAGGTGGGCTGTGAGTGTGGGTGACTGTTCATGAGATAGATAATATGCCCTGGAGTTAGAGGTCAAGGAACTGAGATTGGTATGGTGAATGTCCACATGGACTCTGAACCTCCCATGGACTCTGATGCTGTCAGGAGAATGCCTGGGACACAGTGGTAAATCATTTACATTTTGTTCAATGAACATACATACAACAAACCAAGTGAAACACCTTCATTGAAAATGAAACAGTAGCTACCAGACTGCATGGTGAGGAAAATGAGAGGATTACTAGATGGCACGAGTCCCAAAGAAAAGGAAGCTTTAGAGAAAACCATGAGAACTAAAAAATTCTGGACTATGAGAAATTTTGCACTCATTTCTTTAGCCACCTATTTTGTTTAATGTTTGCTTATTAAGAGAAAAAAATATAAAGGATGAAGAGTTTAGGTTACAAAATATTTAGGAGACAAATCACCTAATCTCTATGTATAAGTTTTATTTAGATTTGATTAAACATACAGTTATTTAAGCATATATACACATACAATTTATATACATACAATATCAGAGAAAGTGAATACTGCCTATATATTTGGTGATATTAAGGAACTGTTAATTTTTAGATGTGATTATAGTACTGTGGTTATGGTTTTTAAAGTCTTTATCTTACATAAATATTGAATTACTTAAGGATAAAGTGATATCATGCATGACATTTGCTTTAAAATAATCCTGATGGCTTAAGGAATGGGTGGATATATCAATGAAACCATGATTGGGCATACCTTAACAAATGTTGAAGCGAGGTAAAGTATAAGTTTTATTATTCTTTCATTTTATACACTCTTAAAAATTTCCATAATAAAAAGTATTTAATTCCTAGTCATATCCTTCTACAACTGGGTTCTTGTGCAACATGTCAGGACAGCTCTCCAAATATGATCAAAGTTATAAATGTTAGATAGTTATACCAATTCACAAAAGGTTAATTGAAAACTCTTAAACCAATGCACTCAACCTAAAATCTTATGGGTTATTCTACCAAACAAAACTGGCTTCAAAATTAACATGGAGGAGTCAAGGAAACAGATTAGGTTTCAGAAAATAGAGTTAGACACTTGTTCCAGAGAAGCCAGGAACTAAATGAGTCAAAACAATTGATGGGATCACAATGAAAAGACAATTCAAGTATGGCAATGTCATACCAGCCTTACTTCTTCCCAATTATATTTAGAACAACTTGCTAAAGAAATTGCAGTTTGAAAGTAAAGAATCAAATTTAGTTTCAAAACTGAAGATCTAGATTCCTATCCAGAAGCAGAAACTTAAAACAAAGATAAGATCTCAGTGATGAGGAATTTCAATGTACTCAGCCTGTTTTCCCAGAGCTGTTCCCAAGCAGGTCAAATGATCCTACCTAATGGAGTCAACTGCTTCTTTGAGAGATAGAGAATACAGGTGGCTTCCATGGAATACTACAGTCTTGCACTTGCATGTGCACTCTCCCCACACACACACATATAATACAGAAGTAGAATAAACATTCTGAACACAGAGATGAAATTCCATTTTGTAAAAAATCTCTTAGTAAACTGGTGGTAGACTTATTAGAACTGCATCAGAAAATAGAATGACTATCATCTCAACAATTCTTTTTTAAAAAAAAATATTTATTTTTTAGTTGTAGTTGGACACAATACCTTTTTCCATTCATTTATTTTTATGTGTTACTGAGGATCGAACCCAAGGCACTGCATGTGCTAAGCGAGTGCTCTACACCTGAGTCACAATCCCAGCCCCATCAACAACTCTTTATTTAGCATAAATATTATTGACACCTACCAGGAAAATTTTTACACATTTGAACTGGCATGAGAAAAAAGAAATTATCATTTAATTCAGAATGACAGAGAATAGTTTATTACCACAGAATAAAAATAAGAAAAATCTTCTACACCGGTGTTCTCAAATTTCAATGATTCAGTCACCTGGGAGATTTATTAAAACGCAGATTGCTGGGAACTGCCCTCACAGAGTTTCTATGTCTGGAATGAGGCCTAAGAACTGCATTTCTGACAAGTTTCCAGGTATTGCTGCTGATAAGCCTGCAGCCATATTTTATTTATTTATTTATTTACTTTTTAGTTGTAATTGCACACATTACCTATATTTTATTTATTTATTTTTATGTAGTGCTGAGGATTGAACCCAGGGCCTAGGCGAGCCACCAACCCCAGCCATGTTTTTAAAACCACTATTTTGATGGAATTAAATATATATAGGAAGAAACAATTATTCTTGAAGTAATTAGAAGGGTGAAGAACATCAGGATATATGTCATGACTTACAGCATTATTAGTTTCCAAGTTTAGATTCGCCAGGAACTCTCTCCTCCACAGAACTAATGTTTTAATCCAGTCTTCCTTCACCTAAGGAAGGTGGAAATTTGAGATCCAGTTTCCTCTTACAAAAAACTATAGTGTCACCAGGATTGCCAAGGATGAATTCTTCTCAGAGAAACAATTGCAAGGTTTTCCCAACTTGGGAGATACCAATTGGAGGAATACACCTTTAAATCCTTGTTGTGAATTCTACTATGTACTGATTGTTTATTTAAGCAAAATACCTCATGAAAGAAAAATTCCCCACCACATTCTCATCAATGCATGGTACTCTGCTTGCTAAACAAAACAAATATCTGCATTTTAGAGGCTAATCAATAGTTACTTGAAAATGTTAAAAATGTCAGTTAAGCTGTTGTAGATATATTCTCTGATCATGTGTAGAAAGACCCTCAAGAGTTTTTTTTCAACAGCTTTATTGAAATATAATTCATGTAACATAAAATTTACCCATTTAAGATGTTCACTTTAACGACTTTTAGTATCCTCATAGAGTTGTGCATCATTGATAAATCAATTTAGATCATTTTCATTACCCTGAACTATCCATCGTCATTATTGACCAATGCCATCGGCACCAGCCCCAAGCAACCACTTCTACTTTCTATCTGTACAGATATGCATACTCTGGCTTTTTTTATTTATTATTTCATTTAGCCTAATGTTTTCAGCATTTGTCCATATTGTACCAAGTGTCAGTATTACATCCTTTTTTATTGAGAATAATATATGATAACATGGATATGCCACATTCTGTTCTTCCCTTCAACAAATGATGCACATTTGTGCTGTTTCTACCTTGTGACTATATGAGCCATACTTCCTCCCAATTATACCCTTTATACCCACTATTACCATCATGGGTATAAACATTTAAACATTTTGTACAAGTTTTTGTGTGAAATGTGTTTTAATTTCTTCTGGATATATACCTCAGAAGTGAAATGGCTAAATCATATGATAATTCTGTTTAACTGAGGAGCTGTAAAGAGGCTGCACCATTTTACCTTCCCACAACTATGTATGAGGGTTCCAATTTTTCTGGATACTTGACAACATTTGTTATTACCTGTCTCTTTATTACAGTAATATTTCTATATCCACAGTTTTAATTTTCTGGGGTTCCGGTTACCCAAAGTCAACTATAGTCTAAAAACATTAAATGGAAAATTCCAGAAATGAAAAATCACAAATTTTAGGTTGCACATGGTTTTGGGTATCATGATGAAATCTCACACTAGCATTACACCCTTCTTGGGATGTGAATCATATCTTGGTCTAGTTTATCCATGCTGTATACACTACCCACCCATTAATGGCTATCACTTAGTAACCATTTCAGGTATCAGATATATTGACTCTATAACACTGACAGTTTCAGGCATACTGGGGGATGTCTTGGAACATATCTTCCACAGATAAGGGGGGACTACTGAATTGCCATCCTAGAGAGTATGAGGTGATATCTTGTAGCTTTGCTTTGCATGCTCCTAATGACTGCTGATGGTGACCATCTTTTCTTGTGCTTACTAGCTATTTGTAGAAATGTCTGTTCAGATCCTTTACCATTTTAGCTATATCATTTGCTTTTTATTGTTGAGTTACAAGAGTTCTTTATAAATTTTAGGTATGATTTGCAAAAATGTTTCCCCATTCTGTGTGTTGTCTTTTTCCTTTCTTTATAGTGTCCTGTGAAGCTCAAACATTTTCTAATTTTGGTGTCCAGGTTATTTATTTTCTACTTTTATTGATTGTGCTATTGTATCACATCTGAAAAGTCTGAAAAGCCTTTGCCTAATCCATGTGAGATACAATCTCACATGCTAGGTGAGGATGTGCCATAACACAACCTAATTTATATGGGTAAGCACCTGAACACCTTTTCCCAGGTGACCATACAAGGGAAATATGATCCTAGGCCATAGCTCTAGACCAGGTTGGGATACTCCTTCACTTCATCTCTTCAGGTAGACTTTGTATTAGTTCATATCATCACAAGAAGAAGGATGAACACAAATGAGCTATTTTGAGAGAGACCACACTAACATAACCTGTATTATAGCATATTGTTATGTTTTATTATTAGCTATTATTAATCTATTAATATGCTAATTTAGAAATTAAACTTTATTGTAAGTATGTATATATAGGAAAAAGCATAGTATACATAGGGTTGAGTAATATTCATGTTTTAGGCATCCACTAGAGGTTTTAGAATATATCCCTGGTAGATAAATAGGGACTACCATAATAGAATGATGAGGAACTTCCCTCTTATCCAACAGTTCTTCTTGCTTGTGAAGTCATGAGAACTATGTCAACAGATATCGGTATACAAATCCACAGATTATGTCCATAAAAAGAAGTCTACCAATCACAAAAGATTAAGTGCTAAAGTATGGATCCACCACCACCAGGAGTCAAATTGGAAATTTAGGATAAAACTGTGAAGGAACCTTATCCAACATACTATTTTTTAGATTTTTTTTTTCTTTTCAACTTTCAGGTGGTTTTTGCTCTTACAGAATTTGTGATAGAAAATCTTGGAAAACAGTTTATAGAGCCACCACCTGTGGACCTGCCTACCCTATACCAAGACATGTCATATAACACCCCCCTGGTGTTCATCTTAAGCACAGGCTCAGATCCCATGGGTGCATTTCAGAGGTTCGCCCGGGATAGCGGGTATTCAGAACGGTAAGGTCACATTGTGCAGTTTTTACCTCTTGGTTAATTTGTCTTTGTTCTTACCTACTGTGGAGCATGAACACTACCATTCCAGTATTTCACTAAAAAAAATTAAGATGTGTTAATATTTCTCTATGTATATTATTAAAAATGGAATAAAAATTATAAAAGCAGGTATAAACTTCATTTGAGCATAATGATTGTTTTAAGTCTTAAAGTATAATAATGAAGTTGAACAGTGATTGAAACGTTTTTAGTATTTAACATATTTTTTTTGCACTAATGGGGATTAAACCCAGGGGTGCGTTACCACTGAGCTACATTCCCAAACCTTTTTTATTTTTTGGTTTGAAACAGGATCTCACCAAGTTCCCTAGACAGGCTTTAAACTTGTAATCCTCTTGTTTCCACTTCCTAAGTAGCTGGGTCTTTCTCATGATAGCTTCCAGTTCTGATGCAGCCTGGTCCCAGGACTAAAAATTATAGGAGGATGAAAGATCCAATCTCTTCATTTGGAGCTTATGGTCTACTTAGAAATATATGTATATGTGTGTATATATGTACACACACATACACACATATAAACACATATATTATTATATGTGTATATATTTATATATATGTGAATGTGATCTCTCAAAATATCTTATATATACAAATATAATATATAGTATATATGTGTGTGTATATATGTGGGCATATATATGTGTACATATACATGTGTATGTACACACATATGTTTAAATGTATATATGTAATAATATATAAATAATATATTTAATATATTTTAGTATAGTCAATATATATTTAAAATATATGTGAATATATAATATATGTGTGCATATATGTACACACATATGCTCATACATATATGTATGTATATATGTATACACACATATATATTTTTTAATAAGGAACTAAGAAGTCCCAAAAGCTGGAGATTCAGAAGAGTTGATAATGTGTAGTTCCAGTCTGAGTCCAAAAGCTTGAGATCCAGGAGAGCTGTTGGTACAAATTCCAGCCCAAAAGTCAGCTGACTTGAGACACAATAACCAAGGTGTCATTTGAGTCTAGTGGCCAGAAAAGACCAGTGCCTCAATTCAATAGTTAGGATAAGTTCCTTTGTACTCATCCCAGATGAGTTTTGAAAGCATGACCCAAAACACGCACAGAGCCCACATACAAATCTTGGAGATTTCTTATTGTTGTCATTCTAGGCATTTAATGAATGAAATTGAATTACTATTGAATTACTAGCTGATTACTAAGCCAACCAAATAGAGATGTCATGTCTACATTTCAGTATCAACATGCAACAAATAATACAGTTTTTATAAAAGTGATTCACAAAAGTCAGTAAACAAACCTTGAGTAGCAGCAACAAACACTGGACAGGGAACAATCTGATTTTTATCGTTGCCACTTTATAATATTCAAAATGTCCACCTTTCAAAAAGCATTGTAAGATATTCAAACAAACAAGAAGTATGGTCCATTTACAGGGAAAAAAATCTTAACAGAAACTGAACCTGGTAAATGGTAGGCTTTGAACCTACTAGATAAAAAAATGTATTTTATATACTTTCATTTTAAATAATACAGAATAATTATAATTTATAGGGTATTTAAATTTATAAATTGTAATTTATAGTGATGTTTCAGTATATTGTACAATGTATAATGATCAAATTAGGGTAAATGGCATATCTGTCACCTCAGACATTTATTATTTCTTTGTGTTGGAATCATTCAAAATTCTCTTTACCAGTCATTTGAAATAATTAATTGTTGTCAACCATAGTTATCCCATTGTGCTGTAGAACACTGGAGGTTATTCCTCCTATGCAGCAGCACCCCTGTAATCATGAACCATCCTCTCTCCAACCCTCCCTTTCACATCCTTCTCAGGTAGTAATAACCACTATTCTATTCTCTACTTCTTGTCACTTTTACAAATAACAAAGAATATGCAATATTTTATAGACAAAAACTTTAAATCAATTATTTTAAATATACTCATATAGCTAAATAAAACATCAACAAAGAACTAAAGAAAAACATGAGAATGATGTCTCATCGAAATAGAGAACAGCAGTAAAGAGATAGGATTTATAAAAAGGAACAAAGTAGAAATTCTGGAGATTAAAATTATAATTGAAATTTAAAAGTCACTAAAAGGATACATGTGGGAGGAGGCAGAAGAAAGAATCAGTAGAGAGGAAAAATAGGTCAATTTAGATTCCTCAACCTCTGAGGAGCAGAAAGGAAAAAAAGAATGAAGAAAAACTAACAGAGCCCAAGAGACCTGAGAGATACCACCAACCCCACCAACACACATAATGAAAGTACCAGGAGAGAAGACGGGAAGGAGATTCAGAAAAAATACCTGAAGAAATATTCTGTTTGAGCTGGTATATTCTGATTCTCAGAACTTTCACTCAATAGGAATTATGCCAATGGCTTTCCTCATTCTTCAGTTTACAGAAGGCAGATTTTGGGACTGCATGGTCTCTATAATCACATGAGCTAACTCCCATTAAATTTATGTGTGTATCATGGGAAAACACACACACACACACACACACACACACCACGTATAGGTACACATATATAACATTGGTTCTGTTTTTCTGCAAAACTCTAGCACAGTAGGTATGAGATTTCTTTTTGGGATAGTGAAAATATTCTGGAACCAGACTGCAGTGATGATTTTCCAACATTGTGAGTATAATGGAAGTCAGTGAACTGTACACTTCTAATAATTAAAAAAATAACTAAGACACTGTTAAAGAAGAAAAATGAGGTGAGAGAACTTTTTTATTACATGTCAAGATTTACTATAAACTTATTATAAAATGAGAGTCATTTAGATGTTGTGGTACCAGTGCAAGTCTAGACTAATAGATGAATGAAAAAAATAGGTAATTCAGAAATGAACTCATGTACGTTGGGATCCTGTTTATGACAGAAGTCAGAGTGAGGAATAAAAAAGGATCTTTTCAATAAATATTCCTGAATTTGCTGGAACAGCCACACAAAAAATTAATTTTGACATGTATATATAAAGCAAATATATAAAAGGCAAAACAATAACTAGAAAATAATATAAGAGAGTGTCATCCTGGGCAGTGACATTTTTTCTAAATACAAAAAGGTGATCGTTTTTAAAAATTGATAAATTAGACTGAAGTACATTAACATATAGGATTTTTATTCATAAAAGGCAGTATTAAGAGAGTGTTTTAAAGAAACAAGTGACAAAGTGGGAAAAAATACTTGTAGTAAATATAACAGAGGGTTTATATCCAACCTAAAGAACTCAATACAAAAAAGCCACTAAGGAAGTACCACCCAAAGGGTAAACCCTAATGTAATCTATAAACTTTCATTATACAATATTATGTCAATATTACCTCATCAATCATAACAAATGTATCACACTAATACAGGATATTAATAAAAGAAGAAACTGGGGGAGGGAAAGGGGGCTATATGATAACTATACACTCATTGTAAACCAAAATTTGCTCAAAAAATAAGTACTGTCTATTAATTAAGACTAAACTCAAAATAAGTTTGAGGCTGGAGAGGATTTTAATAACAACAACAAAAAAGAATAAAATGGGAGATAAAAGACAATAAAGGATATAGCCAAATAGTCAATTTAAAAAAAGCAAATAATTTAAAACCTCAGTGAGACACCACTACACCAGACGTTAACCAAGAGGTGGAAAAAGAGTAACTCTCATCTACTGCTGGTGGAGGTATGGAATGGCAACACCATCTTGGAAAACAGTTTGATATTACACAAAAGTTATATGTACACATACTCTGTCAAACAGCAGTTCCACCTCAAGAAATATTCACACAAAAAATGGAGTGCCAACATAGACCAAAAGGTACATACAAAATGTTTTTGAAATCTTAACACCAAAAAATCAAATAACCCAATCAATAAATGGACCAAGGAGCTGAACAGACACTTCTCAGAAAATGATATACAATTAATCAACAAATATAAGAAAAAAATGTTCAACATCTCTAACAGTTATAGAAATACAAATAATCAAAACTACTCTAAGATTTCATCTCACTCCAGTCAGCTATTAAGACTACAAAGAACAATAAGTGTTGGCGAGGATGTGGAGAAAAAGGCACACTCATACTTTACTGGTTGGATTGCAATTGGTGCAGCCAATATGGAAAGCAGTATGGAGATTCCTTGGAAAACTTGGAATGGAACCATCATTTGACCCAGCTATCCCAAGGACTTTAAAACAGTATACTCCCGGGACACAGCCACATTTCACAATAGCTAAACTGTGGAACCAACCTAGATGCCCATGAGTTGATGAATGGATAAGAAAATGTGGTAAATATACACAACGACTACTATTCAGCATTAAAAGAGAATAAAATCATGGCATTTGCAGGTAAATGGATGGAGTTGGAGAATATAATGCTAAGTGAAGTTATCCAATCCCCAAAAAACAAATGCTGAATGTTTTCTCTGATGTAAGGATGCTTTATTCATAATGGGGGTGTGGCATGGGAGGACTAGATGAACTCTAGATAGAGCAAAGGGGAGGGAGAAAAAGGGAGGAGGCATGAGGGTAGGAAAGAGGAATGAGATGGACATCATTACCCTAAGTACATGTATGGAGACACAAATAGTGTGACTCTACTTTGTGTACAACCAGAGATATGAAAATTTGTGCTCTATATGTATAATATGAATTGTAATGCATTCTCCTGTCATATATAACCAATTAGAATAAAAATGTTTTTGAAGCATTGTGAAAAATAACCAACAAACAAATAACTCAAATATTCAAGAATGAATAGTTAATAAATTGTAGTCTAAGAGCACCCTAGAATATTATGCAACAATGAAAAATGCATCGACTATAATAACACACAATAACATGAATGAATCTTTAAAAACATAATGTTGAAGGGAGAAGATGGAACTAGGAGGAAACCGGATTTCTCCTCACTCAGTAACCCTAGATGCAAGCATCAGGAATACTGTGAGATGGGTGAAAGAGGGATTTCATTTAAACTCAATACTGGACAGACAGAGTGCCTGAAGAAACATCAAAATCCTACCAACAAAGAAAAGCTCAGGAATAGATGGATTCTCAGCCCAGTTCTACCAAACCTTTAAAGAACTAATAACAATCCTCCTCAAATCATTCCATTAAATAGAATAATATTCCAAATTCATAATATGAAGCTAGTATTACCCTGATGACAAAAACAGAAAAAGGCACATCAAAGAAAGAAAATTTCAGACTAATATTCTTAATGAACATAGATACAAATATTCTTAATGAAATTAGCAAATTACATACAAAAACACATTAAAAAGACAGTGCGCCATGACCAAGTGAGTTTCTTCCCAAGTATGCAAGGTTGGTTAAACATACAAAAATCAAAAAACGTAATTCAAAAAACGTAATTCAATACATCAATCGATGGAAAGTCAAAAATCACATGATTATCTCAATAGATGCAGAAAAAGCATTTGATAAAATGCAGCATCCATTCATATTTAAAACACTAGAAAAGTAGGGATAGAAACAATATACCGCAACATTGTAAAAGCTATAAACAACAAACCCAAGGCCAGCATCATTCTAAATGAAGAAAAAAGTGAAAACATGCCCCCTAAAACCTGGAACAAGATAAGGATGCCCACTTTTACCATTTCAATTCAACATTGTTATTGTCAGAGCAATTAGGCAAACATTGTAATTGTCAGAGAAATTAGGCAAAAGAAAGAAATTAAAAGGATACAAATAGTAAAATAAAAGCTCAAACTAGTTCAACTTTGTAATGACATGATCTTTTATTTAGAAGACCCAAAAAATTTCACCAGAAAAGTTCTATAACTCATAAATGAATTCTGCAAAGTAGCAGGCTACAAAATTAACAACCATAAATCATTGCATTCCTGTACTCCAATGATGAATTAGCTGAATGTGAAATTAGGAAAATCATCCCATTCACAATAGCCTCAAAAAATATATAAAATACCTGGGAAATCTAACGAAAAAGGCAAAAGACTTCTACAATGAAAATTACAGAACATTAAAAAAAGAAATTTAAGAAGAACTTAGAAGGTGGAAAGATCTCCCATGTTGTCAGATAGGAAATCAAAATGGCCATACTACCCAAAGTGCTATTCCATTCAATGCAATCTCCATTAAAATTCCAATTTTCAAAATTCTTCATAGAAACAGAAGCAGCAGGCATGAAATTTATTTGGAAAAATAAGAGACCCAGAATAGCCAAAGCAATCCTCAGCAAGAAAAGCGAAGCAGGAGGAGGCATCACAATTTTGGACCTTAAATTGTACTAGAGAACTATAGTAACAAAAACAGCATAATACTGGCATCAAAACAGACATGAAGAGCAATAGAATAGAACAGACACAGAGACAAGCCCACATCAATACAGTTATCTCATACTAGACAAAGGTGCCAAAAACATACATTAGAGAAAAGATAGCCTCTTCAACAAATGGTGCTGGGAAAACTAGACTATGGTCCTTGTCCTTGCCCCAGTGAAATTGACTGATGGGGCCAGGAAATGAGGGGCTATTTAGGAAAGGTGGCTTGGTAACCAGTGAAGGCCAGTGATTCTCCAAAGGAGCAGTTCCTCACCTTGATAGATAACACTGATAAAAGTGATTTCCAAGACTAATTACATATTTATCATGTTCCCAAAACCTGAGACCCCTAAAAAAGAGCTCTGGATATCCTAGGATCATTGGTGGTGCTCTTGGTTCTGTACTTCTTTTATTTTATAAATATTAATTTTCTTTCTTTGGCCTAAGTCTGTTTTACTATTGTTTTTGACCACTCCATATGAAATATATTTCAAATTCAAGCAGTCTCCCATAATGGTAATATGAAACAGAAGTGATCCAGTGGACGATCCCATTAACTTGGCATTTGAAGACTATCATAGCATATTTACATTTTTAAAATATCTGCATTGCTTTAAAATAGTATAACACAGTCTCTTTTTTGTTGTTGTTCAATTCAGAGTGCAGTCAATTTCACTAGGACAAGGACAAGGACCCATTGCTGAGAAAATGATCAAGGATGCAATGAAATCAGGAAACTGGGTATTTTTGCAAAACTGCCATCTTGCTGTTTCTTGGATGTTAGCCATGGAAGAGCTAATTAAATCCTTCATAGATCCAAGTATGTTGAGCACATACATTTGCATAATAATACCATTTTATCAAGTTCTTAGAGTAGATCTTTATTGTAGGCATTGTGTTTGCTCTTATTATAGATAAGAAATTTGAGTACTAGGCAGGTTCAGTTAAGTTACACAACTAGGATTCAAAAAACAGTCTTATTTCTTATTAAAAAAAAGTACTACTACAAGCTAAACATTTTCCTTTTTTGTTGTTTTGTCTTTGTTTTAAATAGCTCATGCTATCAAGGACACTTTTCGACTTTTTCTAAGCTCTATGCCTAGTACTACATTTCCTGTTACAGTTCTTCAGAATTCTGTCAAGGTAATGTATGCACATGGTTGGAATGGGAATGGTTGGTGTTCATTTAGGAGCTCCATGGAGCTCAGACCTTGCACAGAACCACATTGAAGTTTATGTGGTCAGGGTGAGAAGGTGGATATCCATATCCTTTCAACTGATAGGCAGGTGGAGGAAATTAGGTCGCAAGACAGTGACTATCTTTGCATCTTCTAGTCCTGTTTGTCATTCAATTCTTCCAGCTCTTACCCTTCAAAAGAAAATGTTAAGTGTACAGTGATAACAACACATCCTGTCCCACAGGAATGGGAATGTTTCAGCATTTGAGAAAAAGGCCTTCAGGTGTTATAGCTGCTGAATTTCAGTGCAGGAAGTTTCCAATATGTGGGAAGGAATGAGGAATAAGAGGTTCTTCTTTCCTCCCTGCCCTATGTTATGGGACAAAGTCTGGAATGATGTCATATTTTGAGATAACTGAAAAATCCAATGGAGAAAGTCTTAGCATGCTTTTTGGCCCATGTTTAGAAAAATGAGCACCAAATGGAAGTGTCTAAGGCTCTTATGCAGACGCTTCCAATGTTATAGATCTGAGGACCCCGCCAGGCCCTATTCTCTCCTGGACTGTGGCTGAACAAGATACGAAGTAGACTTGCACATTCCAGGAAGGCCCTTGTGGGAAAGTTAGCTAGATCATCTCAGTGTCTTCAGTCTATGTGTATTATTCAGAAATAATGCAAGTCTATAAAATCACCCTCTCTTCTGGATATGTTCTATCTTAATCCAGGTAACCAATGAGCCTCCCAAAGGGTTACGTGCAAATATCAGGCGAGCATTTACTGAAATGACACCTTCATTTTTCGAAGAAAATATCCTTGGAAGAAAATGGAGACAGATGATATTTGGCCTTTGTTTCTTTCATGCAATTATTCAGGTATATTCGATTCTGCTTTTTAATAGCAACAAAGATGTGTACTATCTTCTAAATAAATAAGTACTAAAAAAAATAAGTGAAAGCTTACGAATGGCACTGTGAAGCACTAAGGACCCTATTCTGGATTTGAACCCAAGTTCTTTTAATTCAACTAGTGATCTATATACTCAGTTTGCATGAGTATCTCACAGCTATACTGGCTCCCACCTACATGCTATATGCCCACAGAACACCATCATCTAAATCAATGGAGTAGGGCCAACTCAACAAATACAAAACTGATCTCCTCAATTCAACCTCACACTCAAAATCTGCTTTCCCTCCTGTTTTAGTCAGCTTTTTACCTGCTGTGACTAAAGGATCTGACCAGAACAACTATAGAGGAGAAAAAGTTTATTTGAAGGCTCATGGTTTCAGAAGTCTTAGTCCATAGAAGTTCAACACCATTCCTCAGGGCTCCCGGTGAGGCTGAATATCATGGCAGAAGAGTGTGGGTGGAGGGAAGCATCTCCATCACTGAAAGCAGCAAGCAGAGAGAGAGAGAGAGCAAGTCCACTCTCAAGATACAGAATGTATACCCCATAGATACACCCCAATTTCCACCTTCTCCAGCCATACCCTACCACTACCAGTTAATCCCATCAGGGATTAATTCACTGATTGGGTTAAGACTCTTACAACCCAATCATTTCTCCTCTGAACCTTCTTGCATTGCCTTGAGCTTTTGGAAGACACCTCACATCTAAACCATAACACCTCCAGTCTCTAATTCTGAAATCAATGGTTCCATTCTCTCAATTAGTGACAACCAGAACTTCAGGATTATTTTTATTCTTCCTCTTCACCCATATATTTTTGTCAACCATCAAGACCTCCGTGTTAATTTTACAATAATTTCACTTTTACGTGTTCCTTTGAGTGGACTCACCAACCTAGTGGCCTCCTCTCCACGTATTACTGAAGCCCCAAGTCCCCCAAAAGATGACCCTCAACCCAGAAACAGTCTCCTTCCCCTGATCCAGACTCTGCTTGGTATGGTATTCATATCTGTGACCTTGTGCTCTAATTCTGACTCTCCAACTATGAATCATTGGGTGGTGTCTTGATTAGACTGGCATCCTGGTCTTCAACTGTGTGTGTTCTATAGAAAGAGAATCAGTAAAGAAAAAAAGAAGATTAAAGGTGCAAGATATGGGATAGATAAACAAAAGGGTCCTAGAAGAGGTCTGAGAAATTGGAAATCAGAGGCTCTGGCTATCAGGAGCTCTTTTGCTGTTCCACTAATAAAAAGATGATGCTAAGATGAGGAGGTAGTTTAAGAGTAGTGAAAATTTGAGATCAAGAGGAAGGAACTTGGGACCAATAATTGTTAGTTTAGAATTAAGAAATTAAGGTAGGATAAGAAAATAGCAAAGAGGGAGGGATATCATAAAACAAAGATTATGATTATGTGTACCATTTTCTTTTTAAACATCACCATGGAGAAGACAGTATGTAATAAGCATAATATGGTATGACAGAAAGCCCTGAATAAAACTCCTTATAAGAGTAGGGAATAGTTCTCTCTCACCAGATATATAATTATAGCATCAGTATTTTTATGCCAAAAGACTCTAAATAAGATTATTTTTCCTATTCTGACAGGGAAATATTTTATTTTGCCCTGAAAAACAGATTTTAAAAAAAAAGATCTGATGAATTTCTAGTAATAACAAATTTTCTGTAGTAAATATGCAGAGGGTCCAGTATTAAAGAAGATGTGATCCTCCTCTTTGGTGAAAGCCTGGTTAAAGTTGAACTGCATGACTTTAATTGATTTTGCAGTGTAGGAATGCCCAGTTTTAATATTCGCCTTTTCTTTTTCACTATTTTAAACATAATTAATTTTATCAAATTTTATTTCAGACTATTTATTTTCTATTCTAGGAGAGAAAGAAGTTTGGGCCCCTTGGATGGAATATATGCTATGAATTTAATGACAGTGATAGGGAATGTGCTCTACTGAACCTCAACCTTTATTGCCAAGATGGGAAGATTCCCTGGGATGCACTGATTTACATTACTGGTCAGTATGTCCATGTGGCCAGGGCATCCATCTGTGGACCACAGAGTTGTTGATTCACCCCTACTTGACCCTTATGAAGATGGGGTCCTCCCCCAGTGTTTAGTGGTGATAATGATGCCTCTTGAAATTCTCTCTGTGAATTTAAGATTGTGATAAGCATATCATGAAGAATATTTACACATAGAAAATTGAAAAGATGTTTTCCCCAATAACAATAGTATGGAAAACACATTGCTCTTAATTCATGCCAGGCTCTATTGTAAGCATTTCTCATGAATTAGTAAATTAAATCCTCACAGCAGCACTATTAGTATCATGGGTGAAAACCTTGCAGGAGCACTTCAATGATGACTGGTGACTTACAGCAATGAATCTGGAATTTTCCAAGGAATTATATCAGCATTAGATATCATTCCAGTATGGTTCCTTCCTACTCATGATTTTGGGATGACAATGAAGCATACTGAAAGTAGCTTCTCTGTGGACAGAGAGAGTATAAAATAAGTTTTAATTCCCCCTATCATAATTTATGTGAGGCAAGTTCTCTATGTCATCATGGATCTCTTTCCTCCCAAGCTTGTCAGCAACAATTTATAAAGTATGTATAGAGTTTAAATGACTTGTTACAAATGTTTGGTTCCATTTTATTTGTGGACCCTGAGTGGAAGCACTGTTTCATGCAAAGTGTGTATATTTTAGAATGTTACAGTCAAGGAAGAGATATGACTCAAAATGAATATTTTTGAAGCAAAACAAGAAAAAGGAAAAAGTATGTAAATAGAGATCAGTGACTTTAGCTTTTTTGGAAAAAGCAAAATTACTAGGATAATATACATGTACTAGATTTTTTTCTGATTTATTCTTTTTTGAGGGGGTGGTGGGAGGAAATTTTGATGTGCTTTTTCCATTTTAAGTACCAAATAAACCTATTATAATTAAGCTATGTTTGTCAATTTAAAAAAATAATATATTTAAAAATGCAAACTCCTTTTCAGGTGAAATTACTTATGGAGGTAGAGTTACAGACACATGGGATCAAAGATGCCTTCGTACTGTCTTGAAAAGATTTTTTTCTCCAGAAACATTACAAGATAGTTATCAATATTCTGAATCAGGTGAATGACATTTGAATTTTTTTCTCAAGAAGCCATTGACAGCATCTTTCAGTTTTCCACCCAGGGGACCTCTGTGTCTAATCCTTGCAACTCAGTCCATTCCCACACTTGATACCTTCAAAGCCAGTTTGATAGTAAAAACACAAATATATATATTTTACAGTAAATACTTTGAATTATTTCTGTATTAAAATTGATTTTATTATGTCTAAATATGTTTTCAAAGTTATAGTTTAGAATATTTTGGATGTAATTAAAGAAAATTTCCAATATGGCAAGTTTAATTTAAAAAACAGATCTATGAATTGGTCACCAAGGGTCAAAAAGCAAGTAAATTAATTGTCTTAATCCCCTTGGAGGGAGCAATCTGATTAGGACAGTAAGCTCATAAAAGCTTCTACCACTGAGAAGTAAATCATTGATTACATTCAAGTTGTATGTTGTCATCACTAGGAAAATTTGAGTAACACTACGTTTCAATGTTTTGCATTTGCTTTGAGAAATTAGAGAAGATCATCATTGTTTATCAAACAGAATGTGAAAGTATTTCTAACACAAGCATAAATTTGGAGCTCTTAAAGAGGCATACCTTTCAGCACTGTGTCCCTGGATTCTCAGAGTATTTAAACATTCTGAAGGAGACATCCTGAAAAGTTAAGACACTAAACTGATGCTCAACGTGTCAATAAATAGTAACAAAACTAGACACATCAATGAAAGCAAGGAGATTTAGAAAAGACAATCTCCTTTTCACAAGAGAAGATATCATCTGAATGAGGCAGTGAAAAACCAAAGTTGGCAATGCAGAGTCAGTTTTTTTAAGACATGTTTTCCTTCTGTTTTTAATAACAGGCATATACTTTGCACCATTGGCTGATAACTTACAAGAATTTAAGGACTACATTGAAAATCTGCCTTTGATAGATGACCCAGAAATTTTTGGAATGCATGAAAATGCCAACCTGGCTTACCAGGTATGTGGCCTTTAACTGAAAACATTTATTTATTTTGTATATACAAATTCAAAACATCAATTGTCACCTCACTAGCTTTGTGACTTATAAAATATCATTAAGTAAGTAAGTAATTGTTTCACCTTATATTCAACAGTAGTTCCAATTTAGACAGCTCTCTCTGGATCCTTTACAGAATTCTAAGATTATATATTTTTCCTATCACCAGCCAACCTCCTCCAATTTCTCTATCCTCAGGCCTCCTGTTTAGTCCATAATTGTTTTAGTTAGCTTTTTCATTGCTGTGACCAAAAGACCTAATAATAACAACAAAGAAGAGCAAAAGTTTACTTTAGCTCTCAGTTTCAGATGTTCAGTTCATAGTTGGCTAACTCCATGGTTCTGGGCCTGAGGTGAGGCAGTACATCACTGTGAAAGGGTGTGGTAGAGGAAGGCATCTCAGGACATGACAACCAGGAAGCACAAAGACAGCTCCACTCACCAAAGACAAAATATAAACCCTAAAGACACAACCCCAGCAACCTACTTCCTTCAGCGACACTCTATCTGCCTATAGCGGCCACCCAATTAACCTGCTATGAGGATCCACTGATCATGTTACACTTCTAATAATCTAATCATTTTACTTCTGAAAATTTTTGTGTGGTCTCACACGTGAACTTTTTGGGGGACACATAACAATAATCTACCTATTCACAGTCACCAGAACATGGGAATTCAGATAATAATATAGTCCTTTCTCTACTGCCCTTCTCCCTCCATACTGGGTGTTTTTATCACATGTTATACAAAGGCTTGAATCTCTACATGATTAAATGATAAAAGTCCAGAAATATATTTAAAAATTCAAACTCTTCTTTAAGTGAAATTATATATCATACTTTGTACATGGTTAGAACATAATAGTATAGTTGCAAGTGCTCATATAGCGGTAAGTCCAAAGAACAAAACAACAGTGGAACCTCCACAGAGAGCACAAAAGGGTCATTGTTTTGACACCTGATTTTATGTCCTCTACCAGTGAAATTTTTTTTTTTTGCTTTGCCTTTCAGCAAGGAGTTAGAATAATGCATCATGTTTTTCCTTATCTTATTTTCAGGAGAAAAAAACTGGTAGCAAAACCTACTATCAATATATTTCCCCCGTCTGGTTGTTTGCTGTGGAAGGGGAAAGGAAGCGTGAGGTTAAAAAGGGAGGGTATAACCAGACTTCAAACTATACTACAGAGCAATAGTAACAAAAACAGCATGGTACTGGTACCAAAACAGGCGGGTGGACCAATGGTACAGAATAGAGGACACAGAAACCAATCCACAAAACTACAACTACCTTATATTTGATAAAGGGGCTAAAAGCATGCAATGGAGGAAGGATAGCATCTTCAACAAATGGTGCTGGGAAAACTGGAAATCCATATGCAACAAAATGAAACTGAATCCCTTTCTCTCGCCATGCACAAAAGTTAATTCAAAATGGATCAAGGAGCTTGATATCAAATCAGAGACACGCCGTCTGATAGAAGAAAAAGTTGGCTACGATCTACATACTGTGGGATCGGGCTCCAAATTCCTCAATAGGACACCCATAGCACAAAAGTTAATAACTAGAATCAACAAATGGGACTTACTCAAACTAAAAAGTTTTTTCTCAGCAAAAGATACAATAAGAGAGGTAAATAGAGAGCCTACATCCTGGGAACAAATCTTTACTCCTCACACTTCAGATAGAGCCCTAATATCCAGAGTATACAAAGAACTCAAAAAATTAGACAATAAGAGAACAAACAACCCAATCAACAAATGGGCCAAGGACCTGAACAGACACTTCTCAGAGGAGGACATACAATCAATCAACAAGTACATGAAAAAATGCTCACCATCTCTAGCAGTCAGAGAAATGCAAATCAAAACCACCATAAGATACCATCTCACTCCAGTTAGATTGGCAGCCATTATGAAGTCAAACAACAACAAGTGCTGGCGAGGATGTGGGGAAAAGGGTACACTTGTACATTGCTGGTGGGACTGCAAATTGGTGCAGCCAATTTGGAAAGCAGTATGGAGATTTCTTGGAAAGCTGGGAATGGAGCCACCATTTGACCCAGCTATTCCCCTTCTCGGTCTATTCCCTAAAGACCTAAAAAGAGCATGCTACAGGGACACTGCTACATCGATGTTCATAGCAGCACAATTCACAATAGCTAGACTGTGGAACCAACCTAGATGCCCTTCAATGGATGAATGGATAAAAAAAATGTGGCATTTATACACAATGGAGTATTACTCTGCATTAAAAAATGACAAACTCATAGAATTTACAGGGAAATGGATGGCATTAGAGCAGATTATGCTAAGTGAAGCTAGCCAATCCCTAAAAAACAAATGCCAAATGTCTTCTTTGATATAAGGAGAGTAACTAAGAACAGAGTAGGGTCGAAGAGCATGAGAAGAAGATTAACATTAAACAGGGATGAGAGGTGGGAGGGAAAGGGAGAGAGAAGGGAAAATGCATGGAAATGGAAGGAGACCCTCAGAGTTATACAAAAGTACATACAAGAGGAAGTGAGGGGAAAGGGAAAAATAATATAAGGGGGACAAACGAATGTCAGTAGAGGGAGCAGAGAGAGAAGAGGGGAGGGGAGGGGGATAGTAGAGGATAGGAAAGGCAGCAGAATACAACAGACACTAGTATGGCAATATGTAAATCAATGGATGTGTAACTGATGTGATCCTGCAATCTGTATATGGGGTAAAAATGGGAGCTCATAACCCACTTGAATCAAATTGTGAAATATGATATATCAAGAACTATGTAATGTTTTGAACAGCCAACAATAAAAAATTAAAAAAAAAAGGGAGGGTATAAGAAGGAAAAAGTGAGCGTGGATATGGTTACGCTAACAGCAGAAAGATAGCACTGTTGGTAGGGGTAAAACTCTTGGAAGAGTGTACCAGAAATGTAGATTTTTGTGTTTTCCATTGGTTTCAGAATGACTGAGAGAGAAGGTATATAGTGGGCTTCCAGGGGTGTTTTTCTATGCAGCCTCCCTTCCTCCATTTTTCTGGATTAATACATGCCCCACCCTAACCTCTTTCTTTGGAGCAACTGCCCCTTCCCCATTGCACAAACTCCTGATAAGACTTCCAACCACTCTCTACCTGAACAGAGGTGGATATGTGACACAGGCCTGGACAAAGGCAGTGAGTGCCCCATCCCTTAGCCACTCTAGCTCATCCAAGGTGTACACATACAACCAAGCTAGGTGAATGACAGTCTTTTCCTGAGACAACATACACAGATACAGGTTGGCAGGAGGGTGCTCTCTTTTCTCTAGAATCATTGGCTAGATGCTATATCTCTGCAGCCATCTGTGACCTTGTCCCTTATACTTCATCTCTTCCTATCAACCACATGCAAGAAGCCCATATTCATTAGGAAAGAATTCTGAGAGCCCTTTAGAGAGGAAACAGTTAAAGCATGAGCAAGAGAGAGTGTTGTTAGATCCATTCATGCCTGTATAGGGGAGGCAAAATTTTATTTCTACACTCTTAGGGTCTAAGAATTAAATTGATATAATATAGATTAACAGGAGAAAAACTTACAATTTAATATAAGCTTTCATTTCATTAAGGAAGCCCCAAAGAACTGGTAAAACCTATATGGCTATGTGTTAGGTTGAACAAAGAGAGGCAATTAATTATAGGAAAGTACCTTAATTATGTTGGGTGGCTAAAGAAGATTAGTATGGTCAAGGTCTGTTTATATAACAAGCTCTTGACAATGAGAATGTTTCTTTTCTCCTGGTACAGGGAGGATATCTTTCATATAAGGAGGTCTTCTGTTTTGTTTTCAGAAAGAAAAGGGGAGATTAGAACGTCCTTCCATCTGCTATTTTCCAAGTGGCCTTTAGTTTATGGCAATCCTTAGGTCAAAGTGGCTTATTTTGGAGTAGCATATTCTGCTACCATTCATCTGAGACTCACATTAGGTTAGGTAATTCTGCCTGTTGCAATCAATAAAGTCTTGGCACAAAATTTATAAATTATTTCTTCTACCCAGCAAGTTACATAGATGCCTATCAGAAACTAATAAAGAGCTGGGAATGGTCAGGGAAGGAGATTGTTCTACACATTCAGAGCATATGTTGGTAGCTGTCGTTCCTGCTGTCTGAGCCCCAGTTTTGCATTATATTGCCAAAATGTCACTTTCTTATAGCTGACTCTGAACAAGGTGAATGTGAAGGGGAAGTAAGTTGTTATGAGAATGAATTATAATGTCCCTATGAATAACAGTCAGATAACAACCAACCAGAAAATCAAGGTTGCTGTCTCAAACATCCAGTTAATACTTGGACATTGGAGACAAGTCAGCTGTATTTATGAGTCACCTAAGGCATCCTGACAGTATCCTCATGCCTGACAAGTAATCTTTTGTTTGTTTTAATACAATAATTTTTTTTAACATTTTTTTATTTTATAAATTTTTATTGGTTCTTTTTTAGTTATATATGACAGCAGAATCCATTTTGATATATTATGCAAGCATGGATTATATCTTATTCTTGTTAAGAGTCCCATTCTTATGGATATACATGGTGGTGGGATTCACTGTGTTGTTTTCATATAGATACATGGGAAAACTATGTCAGATTCATTCTACTATCTTTTCTTTTACTTATCTTCCTGACAAGTAATCTTTTTAAAACTTTATTTATTTATTTTAACTAGGTATATATGACAGCAGAATGCACTTTGACTCATTGTACACAATTACAGCACAACTTTTCATTTCTCTGATTGTACAAGATATAATGTTGTACCATATGTGCAGTCATACATATACCTAGTGTAATAATGTACATCTCATTCCACCATCTTTCCTGACAAGTAATCTTTAGAGCCAGTTGCCATAGAATTCAAATTTCTGCTGAGCAAAGCTGTTCTGTTCTTGAAAAACCATATGGGCCCAGAAATGGAAGGACGCTGTACTGGCCAGCTGCTGGGTCTGTCATTCTGCTGGAGAACTTCCACTTTCCTATAAATGAAGAAGGAAAGGGAAAAGATGATTCTGGGAGCAGGGTTAAAGCCAAAATAGAAGTTTTCTGAGGTTTGCTTTCCAAGCTAAGGAGATTTTTCTTTAATCAGTAGTGCCTTGGGCACTACTCATTCAGTCCACAGTCTCATGGTGATCAATTTGCCACAGAAGGCTAGTGGGGTTTTGTTGCTGTATGTTTGTTTGTTTTTATGAAGAAGGAATTGAAGTACTTTGCCAAGAAGGGTAGTTTGCCTTAGGGAGCCTAAGCTAAAGTTGTAGACAAGATCCAGCTGATCAACAATATACTAGAGAAAGTCAATGAAATGATGTAAAAAATGTAATAAGATAGCTTGTCTTTCTTACTAATCAATGAGCATGAAGATGAAGTAACATGAGATGAATAAACTATAGAGAGCTTAAATTAAATTAAAACTTAAATGTATATTTATTTCCATAAGGTAAGCTATATGTGCTGTAAATTACTTTTTGGGAAATTTGAGTCATCAGTCTTCTCTCTCTTACCATCATTATAGTACAAAGAAACCAACACTTTAATCAATACCATACTTGATGTTCAGCCAAGATCATCTGCTGGTGGACAAGGAAAAAGCAATGATGAAATTGTCCAAGAGCTTGTTTCTTCTGTCTGGACCAGAGTTCCAGGTAATAAATAATTCCTTGCATCTGTATAAAATGGGAATTATAGGAATTAACTCAGATAATTGAGTGGTGAGCAGATGTTCAGACCTCCTTATTACATGGACTTTGCTTTGCCAAGAGAGCTTATCTGACATGGAGTTCTCCACTTACCAACTAGAAACCTACATTTCTTAAACATACAGATGCCAAAAGTATGAAGAGCCAATTCTAGCCCCATGTAACTTTAACCAGACATTGTCCCAAGTTTTCCTTGGCTTCATGAATTCTAAAGTCTCTAGACCTGCCCTGTCCAAGGCAGTACCCACTAGCCACATGTGGCTACTTAAACTGAAACTTAGATTAAACAAATTTAAAATTTAATTCCTCAGTTGCACTATTCACATTTCAAGTGGGCAGCACAGAGGGAAAGCATTTCCATCATCATTCGAAGTTCAATTTAACAGTCCTTTCATTTTTTTCCCCATTCAAGAGAAATGGCTGTCACTTTCACCTTGACTTCTGATGAGTTAAGGAAACTGTCTGAATGATCACAAGAGATCCACCCTCATACTTTGCTTAGAGTGGCCATAATTTATACTCCAAAATTTAGTTGCTCATGGTTGGAAAAGAAATAGGAAAAAGAAAACTGAGGAGGAAAAAAAAACAGTTACTGAGTCCTGACAATACACTTAAGACCTCCAGAAGAAAAGCAACCATGTGACCTCAGAACAAGCCAATTATCTACCCCAAAGGAGCAGGCCTACAAAAAAAATCTACATGGGTAGAGAGTTCTGATGATGTTGAAGTAGAGTCAGTTATTTTGGGAAGCAATTTCTAATCAAATTTAAGATAGAAAGCTACGTGGAAAAGAGATGAATAGACAAATGAATGATTGCAGAGGTCATGAACTTGTTTCACAGAGTCTCATTGACACTAAGGAGGTTTTTCTCTCCAAGTTTCAGGAAACTTATACTTTTACTATGAAAATAATAAGCAGTTCGTCTGCTGAGCCTGAGGTGCAATTGGCTCAACAAAAGAACTGAGGGTTTGGAATTTCTCCTGAAGGGAATAGCAGACAGGGACTACCAGACACATGTAACTGCAATTCTATGGACCCAAGAGATGGGACTAACTATACTACTAGGTTATTTTTTTCTCCAGCAGCCAAATTGTGGGTGCTTAAGAAGGAATTTGATGTACATATTTTGGAGCCCCTTATTTACTCCCACTTTCCTTAAATATGCAAGGAAAATGCAATTCTTCCTTTTTTATAGTTCATGTGGTTCTTCATCTAAGTCTCCATTTGGTGAATTATGAGGGGGAAAAAAAGATCTACTTTTTCTTAATCCTGATGGAGCCATGAACCTATTTAATAATTCCACTAATTCCTTTAAATAATGTTTAGCAACTTGGGATAAATGTTGAGTCTCTCACATCTCTGAGTCTCCCACCACCAAACCCTCCTCTTCTGGATACAATATAGATATGCAGGGAAGAACAAGGCTTACATAACCATAAGGTAGAGGGGAAGACATGGATCCCTGGCCCCTCTAAGCTCTGGAATGCCCCTTGTCTATCATGTAGCTGCTTCAACCTGCAAGCATTTGTCTCTCACTTATCCAAAGCTAGGCACACAATCTCATGCCCTCTAGCCAAGCAACCTCTGGAGAGTCTTTCAGACAAACCCCTCACTCAAGGTAGCAGGAACCACTAAGTCATGCTGGCCTTCTGCTTCTTTCTCTTGTCTCTCAATCCTTCTCCTCATCTCCATAGTCATCCAGAATGAAAAGGAGTAGTCTTTTCTTTACTATCTTCTGTTCATGTCCTACTTACATCAGCACAGTCTCTCTTTATCTTACTTAAGCAATCAAGGACCTATCACTTGTCTCAGAGTCAAAGACCACATACTGGCACAGATAAAAATACCCATGGTGAGAAATAAAATATGCTATTATAATGGTTTTTATGTACACACACACACACACACACACACACTCACTTTTCCTCTGATACACATGAATTTAAGCTTGCATTTCTGTGATTGCTTCTATATAAATGGGTGAATCACCAAAGAGTTATAAATTAAAGAAATGTTGTCACATTTAAGCCATGTGTGTCTGTCTTAAATAATGAAATAAGTTGACTTTAGAAAAAAATGTTAAGCACAGGATACTAGAATGTAATGAGAACAGAAATCAATGATGACTGATCTGAGGAGTCAGCTGTGTATGTTTCAGAAACACTGGAAATGGAGGGTGCTTCTGAGAGCCTTTTCTTTAAAGATCATCAAGGACGCCTGAACTCCTTAACCACCGTTCTTGGCCAGGAAGTGGACCGGTTTAACAATCTACTAAAGTTAATACATGTATGAGAGCTCATCTACATCATTTCTACTGGGTATCAAAACCTTGTAGGGGAACTATATAATATAAGTGATATAAGTGTCCTTAGTGTTTTCAATTCCCATCACTTCACCATTTCCTTTTGGATGTGCTAATAACTCTTCAGATCCAGCTTGTCTATTGAATTTATCCTCCTCTAAAAAGTCTGTATTCCCTTTTTCTAATAATGACTGAGTGATATGTAACATTATAAATTCTTAGTCTCTCCATTATCCTTAGAATTCCACTGACAAACTAGAAATTGATCAGGGGCTTATGTTCTCAATTGAAAGTGAATCAGTACTTGTTTTCACTGTCCACTTTGCATTTAATAATATAATTTTTATGCAAGACAGTGAAAACCAAAGTTTCTCAAAGTGTGGGCTACAGATTGCCTGCACTAGAATCCTCTGTGGTGTGTGTTCAAAATGTGGATTCCTGAAAATGAGCACAGCAGCAGACACAAGGAACCAGCCTGAGCAACATAGCAAGATCTTATTTCAAAAAGAGAGAGAGAGAAGAAAGAAAAGAAAAAAATGTATTCCTAGATCATATTTCAGACCTGCTTAATCAGAATTTCTTCAAGTGTAGGGCCTGGGAATGTGAAGCTTTTCTTTGTTTTCAGTAATGTAGGAATTGAACCCAGGGCCTCCCACATTCTAGGTAAGTGCTCTACCACTGAGCCATACCCCAACCCCATGAGTTTTAAGTAAACTCCCCAGATGATTTCAATTAAAATTTAAATTACAATTAAAATTTGCAAATTGTTAGATCATTTTCCTTGTGTTCACAGATTCATTCCCTCCCCCAACCCACTGTCTCTCTTAAGATTGCCTCTTATTTTATTGATGGCCAAAGGTCTTCCTAATTTCTCTGTGTGTATCTTTGATGAGAAAAGAGAAAATACTATTATAATCCAAGTGTGGACCCTTAACCAGATAGTATTACTATTCAGCAGGGAACCTAACACCTGGCCAATGGGCAGGACTTGGGGATAAGTTGGGGAGAACTGAGATTTTTTTAAAGTCAAAGACCATTTCTGTCCCCTATTGAGAAAAATGTCTCCATTTGTTGCTGCGTGGCTTGACTTGTTAAGTGGGAACTGGATCAGATGAATGTGTGAAGTTCTCACCTTAGGACCATGGCTCTTCAACATGTACATTCCAATGTCAGCCAGTCAGGTGACTAGGTCAGTGTTTAACACCTTTTCTATTGAATGAATAAAGGTACATGTTATGTTACTGTGATAAAACTGTCAATACAGTACAAAACAAGGTAGAAATTCACTTTATTATTCCTTCACACTCCAGAGAAAGCCCTATCTAGGGCAGGTAACTCATTCTGCTTTGTGAGTTCTTCCACGGATAAGCAGGTTGGCTCTTGCAGCCTCAACAGTTAACTTCCATCTTAGGGACTAGATTCCTGCTCCACTAATATCTTTCACCAGCCAGTGAGAAAGAAGAAAGGAAGAGCCAAGGAAAAGCAGTTTCCTTAGAAAATGGTGATCTAGAAATTATATATGTCATTTCTTCTTGTAGTCCATTAGCCAAAACTTGGTAATAGGCTACACCCTAACCGCAAGAGTGGCTGGGAAATATAGTTTCCAGGAGGCTTGTCATGTGCCTAGCCAAAACTAATGGGGTGCTGCTGTTCTAAGGAAGAAAAGGAGATGAGTGCTGCTCATCTTCTGCCTTTTCCAGATTATGATACTTCACCTAATTGAAGATGTCAAAGATGTTACTTCCTCCATAATGTGTTTCTGGAACACCAACACTTCCCTGTACCACCAGATGATTTATAAGCCCTTTTTCAGGGCTCCAAAATTTCAGCTGTCTCTACCATTGTACTTAACAACACTTTTTTTTTTTTTTTTTGTATATTACCCTAGGAATATCACTGCTCCAACAAAAACTTCTTAAAACAGGGAACTGGTGTATTGGTCAATTTTACTTCCTTAGTAACTGACATACTAAATCATCCATAAATATTAGAGTGTACAGTGAATTAATGTGATTTCTAGCCTCAGATCACATTCGGTTACTCCCACCCCTGCATGCTGACCCTGTACGGGATGCCTTCTGCCTCCTGAACTCTGTCCAGTCCTGTCTTGCCCTGGCTTTGTCCCCTTCATCTTACTTTGGGAGCAGCAAGGCAGCACTGTGCTGGAAATCAGAAAAGCCAAGGGAAGGAGGCAGCACTTGGAGGCCTTAAGGGCTGCCAACCTGGAGAGCTTACTTTCCTCTAGACAACTTCAGAACTGTGAGATGGGTCTGGTCCTGGGGGTAAGGACCCCCTCACCCCTGCTGTTGAGGCTTCTAGCTGTAGGGAAAGGGAAGCATTTAAAGTATGCTATGCTTTTTCCCATTTAAAACATATATGTATTAGCTATTTCCTTTGGGCAATATCGTTGCCCCATGGCCTCTGTCTGCCTTAAGCAGGCCTTGAAGGTCCAAGAGTCTTTTCCCTCTATTTTTCTCATTTCATGTTTCTCTTTGCTACCTTCCACTTCTACTCTAAGATAGAGAATTGTCTTGGTCCTTCCTTCCTGCACTCTGTTGCAGATGGTTCTTCAGATCCTAAGACAAATTAATTGGAAGACCCCCCCCCTTTCTTTTCCTCCCATTGCCTCTTGTGTAAAGAGGTGCCAAGAGGAGGGGACCAAACTTAATCTAAGAAGAAATGAAAAGATACTGAGCCTTGTTTCATCCACACATTACCTGTCTCTAGGACCATGTACATTTGATCCTTAGGCCTTATTTTTCATTTAATCAACATAAATTTTGCCTCTAAAGTCTAACTATTATATTTTCTCAAGATATGGCAGTTTTCACAAGCCTGTAACCCAGAAGGGCCATCACCAATCTATGTACTCTGCCTTTGTCATTAGCCAGGTAGCAAATGTCACCCTGTATTCCCTGTGGCTGCCACCAGCCCAGCATCTCCCAGGACCACTGCCTGCTTCTGCCTTTTGTTGAGGAAGAAAGGGTAAAAGAAATGTTTTTTTTTTTTTCATATCCAATTTAAAAAGTTTTTATTATTAAATTTAACACATGTAAGGCAAAGCACATAAAACAACTTAATTAAAAGAAATGTTTTAAGGAAGTGTTTGCAGCACAAAGAGACCCTCTGATATCAGCTTCTATAAATCTTTGGGATTTAGGCACCCCCTAATAAGTCCATTCTATTCATTTCTCAGCTCTCCTATTCCCCTTCTTTCCACTGGACTTTGCTATTAACTACCTAAAATTTCTCCTATCCCCAAGTCACATGTTATAATATATAAAAATGTATGAAATAGTTGGGCAGGTGGCACACTCTTCTGGTCCCAGAAATTTGGGAGGCTTAGGCAGGAGATGGCAAGTTTGAGGCCAGCCTCAATAACTCAGCAACTTTGTGAGACCTTATTTCCAAATAAAAATGACAAGGACTGGGGATGTAGTTCGTGCACTGTAAAACACCCTCAGGTTCAAACCCCAGTATCCCAAAATGATGTATGAAATATTGCAGCCTGACCCAGAAAACAGTGTGCAAAAAGGATGGAAAACAGCCAGTAGGCCCTTTGTGTCATGAATGTCATCTACACTTGATAATTATATCTGTAACAGGACACCAATCTTTCTGTCCTTTTAGACTTCCCTAGATACACTCAACAAAGCCATTGCTGGATTAGTGGTGATGTCTGAAGAAATGGAAAAGGTGTACAACAGTTTCCTTAACAATCAGGTTCCTTCTCTGTGGTCCAACACAGCATATCCATCTCTGAAGCCACTAGGATCATGGGTCAAAGACCTTATTCTGAGGATTGCATTTATGGATGTAAGAAAATTCTCTTCTTTGTAATTTGATAAATCTCATGTGGCCAACCCTAAGGTCCCTGGGAATCTCTGGCTAACAACTATTGAGGGATCATCTAAGCCCAGAGAAGTAGAAACTGCTAGAATGGCATGACTTTGAAAGTTTTGTACTGATTCTATCATTTTCTCTTATGTTCTTAAAACCTCATGTTCAGTTTTAACCCCAGTCCATTCTTGGGGTCTTAGCTGTGCATGGGACCCCACTGTAAGGTACAGAGCAAATCCAACATGGGTCCAAAAAGTCAGATGTGACTTTGTTGCCATCTCCCTCTCATCCATCCCTGTACTAACCAGGTTCTGGGTTTGCAATAGGACTGGTGGATAAGGGAGTAGAGCAGGGCAGGCAGTCAAATGGAGATAACAACTAACTCCTAAGAGGACCTTTCAAATATGTCTTTGATTTAGATGACAAACTCAGAAATAAAGTGCCTAACCATATGTTTCTCCTTCAGTTGTGGCTCAGAAGAGGACAGCCCAAATCCTTCTGGATCTCTGGTTTCTTCTTTCCTCAAGGATTTCTAACAGGTACTGGTGCTTTCCCAAGGAAAATCTCACAGAAAAAGATTTTCATTTTGTTTTGTTTTATACACCGGTTTCTAGGAGCTGGGGAAATGCATGTCTGCTAATGTCCTGAAAATGGAGCTTCCTTGATTATTGGTGCGGGTTTGAGGATGGTGGAAACACCAGATATTCACTAGTAACCTAATTCCTGCTCCCTCAGATTACCTAAGAGTTGGCACTCCTGAATCCATGAACAGACTGTGTGTGATTCAATTCTCCATTTGACCCACACTCAAGGGCATCAACTGCTTTCTATTTTTTCAGCCCCAGTTCTGAGCAGTCTCCTTTGCTCTAAAAGTGCTCTTGATGGGGGCTGGAGTTATAGCTCAGCTATAACTTGCACATGTGAGGTACTGGGTTCTATCCTCAGCACCACATAAAAATAAATAAAATAAATAAAGGTATTGTGTCCAAATTAAAAAAATCTTCAAAAAAGTGCTCTTGATGTTCCTCCATTGCCCTTTGGGGAATATGGCTAGAGAGCTCCAAAAGAGGATGGGATTTGGAGCAACTAGATTCTAATTAGCCCATCCCTTAACTTATCTCATTCTTAATCCCTAATAAACAATCCATATAAAACAAGCTGGGTAAAATTCTAAAGTTAAGGGTATTTAAGGAGGTGAAATACCTCCACAATGAAAACTACAGAACATTGAAAAATGAAATTGAAGAAGACACAGAAGATGGAAAGACCTTCCATGTTCATGGATAGGGAAAATTAATATTGTTAAAATGGCCATGTTACCAAAAGCAATTTACAGATTTAATGCAATCCCTATCAAAATTCCCATGGTATTATTTATAGAACTATAAAAAATAGTCCTAAAATTCATTTGGAAGAATAAAAGACCCAGAATAGTCAAAGAAGTTCTAAGCAAAAAAAAAAAAAAAAAGCAAGGCTGGAAGCATCACAATACCTGACTTAAATTACACTACAGACCTATAGTAACAAAACCTGAATGGTACTGACATAAAAACAGACACATAGCAATGGTACAGAGCAGAAGACACAGAGACAAACCTACACATCTACAGTCATCTGATCCTTGACAAAGGTGCCAAAAACATATATTGGAGAAAAAGACAGACTTTTAATCAACAGTACTGGGAAAACTGGTTATCCATCTGTAGAAGAATGAGACTAGACACTTATCTCTCATTCTGAACAAAACCCAATTCCAAATATATTTTATACTAGAAACTATGAAAATCCTAGAAAACATAGGATCAGCACTCCAACATATAGGCACAGACAATGACTTTCTCAAAAGAACCCCTAAAGCTCAAGAAATAATGCCTAGAGTTGATAAATGGGATTGCATCAAGTTGAAAATCTTCTGCACAACAAAGGAAACAATTAAGAATATGAAAAGAGAACCTCCAGAATGGGAGAAAGTATTTGCTTTCAGTAGCTACTCTTCTGACAGAGGTTTAATATCCAGAATATATACATCTCAAAAAAACTTAACACACACACACAGAAAAAAGAAAACCAAATAACCCAATTAATAAATGTGCATATGACACTTCTCAAAAGGAGAAATACAAATTACTGACAAATATATGAAAAAAAATGTTCCACATCATTAGCTTTAGGTAGTTGCAAATTAAAATTACACTGATTTCATCTTGTACCAGTCAGAATGGCAGTCATCAAGAATACAAACAGTAGTCGGGCATGGTGTCACACACCTATGATCACAGCTGCTCTGGAGGCTGAGGCAGGAGGCTTATGAGTTCAAAGCCAGCCTTAGCAACTTAGTGAGGCCCTAAGCAACTTAGAGAAACCCTGTCTCTAAATTAAATATTAAAAAGGGGCTAGTGATGTTGCTCAGTGATTAAGCGCCCCTGTGTTAAATCCCTAGTACCAAAAAAAGAAGAAGGAGAGAGAGAAGGAGAAGAAGACAAACAATAATAAATGCAAGAGAGGAGGTAGATAAAAAAAGAACAGTTTTACACTGTTGGTAGGATTGTAAATTAGAACAACCACTGTGGAAATCAGTATAGAGGTTCCTCAAAAGACAAGGAATGGAAACACCACATGATGCAGCTATACCACTCCTTGGTATTTATCCTAAAGAATTAAAGTCATCATAGTGACACAGGCATATCCATGTTTATAGCAGCACAACTCACAATAGCCAGCCTAAGGGTCCATCAACAGATGAATGGGTAAAGAAATGTGGTATATATACAATGGAGTTTTTTTTTTTCAGCCATAAAGAAAAATAAAATTATGCCATTTGCAGAAAAACAGATAAAACTTGAGAACATTATGTTAAAAAATAAGCCAAATTCATAAGGTTGAGAGTCATATATTTTCTCTCATATGTGAAACCTAGAGTGGAATAAAGAAAAGAGAGGTGAGGGGGGATCTCATGAAAATCAAAGAGAAATCAGTTTGACCTAGAAAAGGGACCAGGAAGGGAGGAGAAGAGGGAAAAGGGAAATACTGGGGAATGATATTGGCCAAATTATATTGTTATATTGTGTACTTATACACATTTGTAACAGCAAATTCCACCTTTATGTCCATCTGTAATGCACCAATAAAAATATGGAAAAAATAGAAAGTTAGGGATATTTGGCCATAAATTTTTCTCACCAGTTTGTTTCATGGCAGGGCCATTCATTTCAGAGTTAGTCTTCTTTCCTTTCTTCCCAGCCATGGCCAGAACTTGTACATCTTTTGGATTCTTACCACCCAGCGTGACCCCAGTTCATGTATGAACTAATTTCTAGTTGAATATTAATAATTGCATTTTCTATGGAGAGGAAGCTCTCTAATACTAGAGCAGCCTGGTTGGGGTGCAGGGGTACAATGTATGTGGAGTAGCAGTGTTATCTGGAGGACCTAGTCTTCTGGTTTTCATATTTACAGGAACTCTTCAAAACCATGCTCGGAAATACAATTTGCCTATAGATGAGCTGAGTTTCAAGTACAACATTATTCCTTCCTACCGAGATCAGGCTGCAGTAATAGAAGCTGCCAAGACGATACAGTTTGGACACGAACTGCCCATGGACCTAGAGGTACTGTCACCTGGTGTTGGGCAAAAAAAACTTCTATCTCACTGTAGTCAACAATTTAGTCAATCCCCCTTGCCCCAACCTCGTACCACCTCCCATTTTCAGGAGCAGGAGGGGCAGAGTAGTAATTATATCCCCAAGACAAGCTCCCCCATTGGTAGTGAATAGATGGGAACTAGCTAATTTAGTCTTATTTAGAGTAACTTTCCTAAGCAATACTATTTTATTTCTTAGATATATACATAGTGATTTTTTTTTCTATCTTGCAGAGAAAAAATAGCAAAACAATTAAAAACAAGGATTTCACAAACAAACCTGAGTTTGAATTCTGATGCTGACCACCACCAGCTGTGTGTGCTGTAGCCATTGCTAACATGTCTGCACTTCAGCATCCTCATTTGTAAAATAGGGCCAATGACACCAACTCAGAGTTGAATGCAGTATAAATGAAATGGCAAATGTAATGTGGCCACATAGTACTCCAATAATAAATTACTAGTATCATAGACTAAATTTGTCTACATCATCTACTCAGTTGCCTCCTTGCAGAATTTATATGATAATGTTATACATTCTCTAGCTATAGCCACATTAGATAACCAACAGGAATGTGTTATGGAAGCAATTTACTCCTCTAGTGCAGTAATTCTCAGTGTGCAGTCCCCAGACAAGGGGCAACAACATCACCAAGGAACTTGCTAGAAATGTAAATTCCCAGGCCCCACCCAGACTTATTGAATCAGGTTTTCCATGCTGAAACCCAGAAGTCTATACTTTAATAAACCCCATAGGTAATTCTTAGCCCACTAAAGTTTGAGAACAACTGCTCCAAAATATGAGTAATTCTCAATCTTGGCTGCAGTTAGAATCACCAGGTGAGCTACTTAAACATCCCAGATCCCACTCTGGGATGCAGACTCTGATTGCATCAGAATCTCTGGAGTAGTTCCAGGCATTGTTTTTGTTGTGTTTTAAAATATTCTATTGTATCTGCTAGAGGCACTTAGGATAAGAACTGCCACTGTTGATCCGAACTGTCTGGCTTATATATGCAGAGACATTGATGGGGAAGGGAACCTCTGCCTCTAAGCATCTCTCCATCCAACATGCCTCATAAATATTATTTTTTATATGTGCCATAAGATCAAAGACCTGCTCCTGATTGCTTTTGTCAAGAATGTATTCTCTAACCAATCAGAATAGTTGGGGTGAGTGACTTATGAAAATTTCCTTAAAATATCATGGTCTTTATTAGTAGAAATTGCTCCCAGGTAATTGAATCAGTATTCACCCAACTTAGATCTAATTGATCTACTCCTTTTTCTGATTAACAAAACATAAAAAATCAGCCATATTCATGGCTTATTCTATGTAATACTCTAAGATTAATACCTCTTAGTTGCCTGTATCTTAAAATAATAAAAAGGCATACATGCTTAAAGAAATTTGTTTTAGGATCAAAATAATTTCCAAAGTTAGGAGAGAATTTGGAGGTGCACTCCTCATTATTTTGAAAGCTTTCTTGGCCAGAATGGTGTCCCAGGCCCATATCAGGAATAATTGAGGTGGCAGGAGAGCAAAACAACATCTACATAGAAGCCCTAACCAAAGCATTCCAGGATGGTGTCCCTGCTTGTGCCTGGCAAACACTTTCTGCCACAGAGGCAGCCTAACAGACAGAGTTTACAGTGACAACCAGGACCTCTTACACTCCACCCCACCCATGCTGTGCACTGAACCATGACAATGCCTTAGAATCTCTGAGATCTCTGGGGATCTCAGATTGTCTAGCTGGCCTGTCTTTTGATCCACTCAGAAAATGTCTGAAAAAGAAGCCAGGGTGTGTATTTAGACAGCTTTATTTCTGTTACAATCAGGCAGGAACACTGGCAGCCAATTTGCCACCTTTATGCCACTTAGGAAAATGTTCTCCCTCTGTGTGGATGTCCAGATTGCTCCTATACATGGTTTGGTAAGGAGGTGGCAAGATGACTTTTAGACAAACCTATACATACATAGCAGCTAAGAAAACAAAAGGCCCACCCCACACTGCTGCACCCAAGAAACAGAAGGTCACCAAATAGCAAAGACCAGTCAAAAAAATTCATTTATTATAACCTGTACTACATATTGCTAGTGATGTTTAATCCTCTGTCCACAGGCATGGTTCTCCTTTTATTCAAAGGCTCAGGGCCAGGCCCAGATTTGGAAAGATGGCACAGGTGTACCCAAGGAGACATCTAATCCCAGGACACTAAAGGATACGGTCTCTCTTCTCTCTCTCTTCCTTTCACTAGTAATATTATAAAGTAATCATATTTCTAGGTCAGGCATGGTGGCGCATGCCTGTAATTCCAACAGCTCAGGAGGCTGAGCAGGAGGATCACGAGTTCAAAGCCAGCCTCAACAAAAGTGAGGCCCTAAACAACTCATTGAGACCCTGTCACTAAATAAAATACAAAATAGGGCTGAGGATGTTGCTCAGTGGTCAAATACCCCTAAATTCAATCCCTGGTACCAAATAATAATAGTAATAATAATTGTATTTCGTTAAGCAGAAAGAAAGAAAAAAAAGGAGTTTTCCTTAGACACTCTGCATATTATTGCCGATATACAGTATATAATCTGTCTTCAAAGAGGGCATCCAAATTCATGAAAGACCTTGCTAAAAGATGATAATCCCATTCCTCTTATCCTACTCGATTCTCAAGAGAAAGGGAAAGCTATTTTATCATGATATCAGATAGTCTGAAAGCCCATAAATGGACTTCCCAGGGGCATCCCTATTGACATCCTGGTGGAGTATGGAGAGTAAGAGATACAGTATCAAATTAAGAAGCAAATTATTTTATTTCCCAGACTCTTGGGATGCCCCTCTTTAAATATAGTAACAATAATTTTAGGGTGTTTTTAGAATTACTTTTTAAGGATGTGAATGACCCTAAATGCTGATCATATACTCCTCCTGTCACCTCTAATCCTGTGAGTATCTTTCAGTTGCCTTCTCCTGAGGATGGTGTTCTTGTTCATGGGATGTTCATGGATGCTTCTCGATGGGATGATGAGGCGATGATTATAGAAGATGCCTTGCCTGGACAGATGAATCCAATGCTGCCTGTTGTGCATTTTGAACCACAACAAAACTATGAGCCAGACCCAACACTTTACCACTCCCCACTCTATAAAACAGGGGCCCGGGCAGGAACACTCTCAACTACAGGTAAGGATGTTCTTAAGATTAGTACAGATAATGACCAAATAAAAACTTCAATAGAAGCCTAAACACTAGCTGAAATGCACAAGGGAGTTCTTGGGCCAATTAACTAGACTTATAATAAGGCCACCTGTAACTTATGAATTCATAAATGTTGTAAATTGTATTTGTTCTAATATTGAGTGTAGATTGACATTACAACACTAATGCTTGTTTCTGTTAGAATCTAATCAGTAGAAAAAATAGAGTTTAATGAGCAGAGACTTCCATTTTCAAAATGATGGACTGAATAGACACTAAAATCTCTCACAAAATCCATTTTGACAAATCTAAGAAAAGATATTTTTTAAAATAAACACATAGATGGAAATCTGTGTTACAAAGCTCTGGATCTGAAACTCAAATACAGCCCTGAAAAAAGGAAGCACATAGAAAGGAAACCATCTCAACAGAAAAGCTGAGAGACAGCTAAAGAATGAACAGAAAAAAAGTCCCTCAAAATATATCACCATATAATAGGAAAACTTGAGATTGTGCAAAGAGCCAGAATCTCCAATATTTCTCTAGTAGGCAACCTTGAAGAAGTGAGGAGAATGGAGAAGAAGGAATAGTTGAAAAAATAATGGTTGATAATTTCCCAAAACTAATGAAGCACTTGTATCCTTAGATTAAGAGATCTCACACAGTTGAGGGGTGCTTTTTAAAATAGTGAAGGAATGTGTTGATATATTTAAAGGGTGGTGTCCAGTACAGTACATAGTAAATACCACCTAAGTAAACTGCAGGCAGAACAAGCAGTCGTGATGAAAATTTTGTCTGAACAGTGATTCAGCTTTTTCCCTGGATTTGGATGTGAATTTATGGGTAACAAAATTAGATTGAAGAACTATGAAATATTTCACTTTAAGAAAGGAAACTGCTTATTTAAATTCTTTTTAAATGGTAATGTAAACTTTAGTCATGATCCAAGAGTTCTGGCACAGAACAATATTAACCTTCTCAGATATGAAAAGGGCAAACCTCGAGTAGTCAGCATCTCTGGTATCTGAGTCCTGCAGCTAGGAACTCTGGGAGGATATGAGAAGCTTCTCTGTGAGGAAAGGTAATCTCATCTCACAGAAAAGGATGAGGTAGTCTTCACCTACTAATCAACATCCAACTTGAGACAATGATGATATCAATTCAATAGTTTTCAAATTCAATGAATAGAATACTTACTGGTTAAATATTAGAGGCTCTGATTAAGGTAAAAATCCATACCAGGGTACTTACTCAAACTCCTGCATTATTCAGGAAGTCCTAACCAAATCAATAAGAAAATGAAAAAAAAAAAAGAGAATTATTTGCCAGTTTAATTGATTAAATGGAAAACCCAAAATAATCTACAGAAAATCTGCTAGAAATAGAAGTCCAGCAGAATTGACAAATATTTTAAAATATTTGTAAATTTTAAAATCAATAGAATTCCTGTGTTCCATCAAAAACAAATAGAAATGAAAGAGAAATAAAATATTCCATTCCAATAAAAAATACAATTGATTAGAAGACTAGGACCAGACCAGACAAAAAGGGGCAAAATCCTTTTTGAGAACTTCATAAAAGATTAACATTAAACAGATACATGAGGTGGGATGGAAAGGGAGAGAAAAGGGAAATTGCATGGTAATGGAGGGAGACCCTCATTGTTATACAAAATTACATATAAGAGGTTGTGAGGGGAATGGGAAAATAAACAAGGAGAGATATGAATTACAGTGGATGGGGTAGAGAGAGAAGATGGGAGGGGAGGGAGGGGGGATGGTAGAGGATAGGAAAGGTAGCAGAATACAACAGTTACTAATAGGGCATTATGAAAAAATGTGGATGTGTAACCGAGAACTTCATAAAATGTTATTGAGGGCCACAAAACAAGACTTTATAGAGGAACTATATCATATTTAGTGGGAAGATTCCATATTGTAAATATTCCAATTACATCCCAAATTAATCTCTAGATTTATATTTATTTTATTCTCAATAAAATAAATATAATTGTTGAAAGAACTTATAGTCTGGTTCTTATATAAAATCAAACAAACTAATAAAACAAAGAATAACAACAGTTTTAAAGATAATAAGAGAGTCTACTTTTAACAAATATTAAAATGTAGTCATTAAAGTGGTATTACAGTGGCACAAGACTCAACAAATAGATTACATGTACCCTGGAAAGCCTCAGAAACAGGGTGTGTATGTGGGAACTTGACATAAAAACAGTATCATTTAAAATTGGTCAGGAATGTAGAAATTATTCCACAAATGGTGCTGGAACAATTGGTTGTACTAAATTTAGATCTTATACCACACACATAAAAAATTAAACCACATATGGATTATTGAGACTTAATTGTCACTAAATTATAAAATAATTATCCCCTAATGAAATAATGGTAATAATGTTCAATGGTTGCTAATATCCCCAAAAAAAAAGAAAATCAAGACATAAATGTGCTTCCTGATGGAAGTTCACCCCACCTATGAAGTGTTTGTGCCAAAAACTGAAACCTATATATAATCAAACCTCTAGATCTCTAATACTCTTTTACAAGAATAAAAGAACATGTTTAAAATCACCACCAGGATGTCATTGGAAAAATCCAAACTCTGGGAAATTTAACAGGTCCAAAAACCCTGGTTGCTTCAATAAATACATGGCTAGGGGTGGCAAAGAAGCAGAGGGGGAACCTACCAATTAAGAGATTTAAGAGACACATCACTATTATAAGGTATGGAACTTATTTGAAACCTGAATCAAACTAACCATTAAACACAGATATAATTTATATTTACTATAAAAACATATATGTATATACTCACATACATATACACTAATTGGAGAAATTCAAATAATAACTATATATTTGCTATTAGGAATGATTAATATTTTGCTATAATAGCGCTTATGCTTTTGTTCTTGCTATAATAGTGCTTATTATAATAGTGCTTATAATAGTTCTTATGTTACTGTAACAGTGCTTATGCTTTTAGGAGTTACATACTGAAATATTTGAAAAACATGTATATGTTATCTAGTATTTGCTTCAAAATAATCTGAAGAACATAAGGAATGTGTGGGGAAAGGATGGGGACAAAAGGAACTTCAACTTTATCTATGTTTCGATTTTTCCATTAAAAGAAAAAAAACAGGGCTGGATTTGTGACTCAGTGGTAGCTCACTTGTCTAGTGTGTGTGAGGCACTAGGTTCAATCCTCAGCACTACATATAAATAATGAATAAAATAAATGTCCATAAATATCTAAAATAATATTTAAAGGAAAAAACATGATAAAACATTAATAGTAAGTCTGGATTTTGGTCAGTGCATTCTTAAAATTTATCACTACATTGTTCAAGTTAAAAGTTACTTTATTTGAACTAATGCATGTCCAGGTCTTCAGAGTAAGGAGTAAGGAGTGATGGAAACAGGCAGTTCATATCTTTTTAAAAAATATTTATTCTTTTTAGTTGTAGTTGGACACAATACCTTTATTTATTTATTATTATATGGTGCTGAGGATTGAACCCAGGGCCTCACACATGCTAAGTGAGCGCTCTACCGCTGAGCTACAACCCCAGTCCCAGTTCATATCTTAATACAAGTCAGTGGAGGCCTGAGTTAATCTTGGGTGCAAAAGATGTTCATTCACCGAGGCACAGCACCCACCCCACTAAAAGCTAGTCCAGCTAAGACCACTGACAGCATCTGATCCCGTCTGGAGGCAGCAAGCTTTCCTTTAACCTGGCTTGATAGTTCTAAGACCCTTTAAACCTGCCAGGTTCTCAAATATTGCATACAAAGCACCAATGACCCCTGAGAGAAGACAATCTTTATTTTTACAACTGTTCCATACACACACTCAGCTACTCATAAGTTCCTTCTAGTCATCCTATTTCTTTCCTAGTTCCTATAAGAAAACTGGCAAATTCCTTTTAACCATGATCCACTGGTGGAATAGCAGTATGGTTGCTTTAACGACCCTTGTTTTGCAGCCACTGTGGCACAGAACCTGATATCCACCCTCTAGGACATGTGACATGTGGTCACACATACCAATCCCAATCACCACTGTTGGAGACAGTTGTATATAACTACTAAGTCATCTCTGTATGTACAATGAACCCCTTAGAAAGCAGTGGTGAGATGTGGAGATTAAGAATTATTGTAAGTCAGCTAAATTCATTTCTGGACAAGAGCAAACTGATTCAGCTTAAATCAGATTCAATGGCTGTAGAAATTTGGTTATGTCCCCAAGTACTTCCTCCTACCTAGAGGAGGCCTCATACAGTAGAGGCACTGATTATCTGAGGGGGATGTGTGTATGGAAGTGTGGGAAAGGGAAGGGGAGGTTGTAAGGGATGTTTAGGACCTTGGACTAAATTTCTGTGTCCCATGAAATCAGTAAGTATACATTAAGACTGTCTAGGCTTGCTTTCCCTCAAACTGGGGCTGGTGGCATGGGAGGCCTATCACAGACACCTCAAGACCATCATGAAGGGGATGGCACACAAAAGTAAGGAGAGGGAGATATAGGCATTATCTCCTGGGGGCATCAGGGCTTTCCCCAAAGTTCACACAAATGGGGGCTGCTGTGAAAGCAGTGTTATAAGTAGCAATCCCATTCCAAGGGCGAGACCCTATTCTCAACCTTATCCTGGTCACCTCACAGAGACCCACAATGGAAAAGTTGCAGAAGTGCTCTTTTATGTTGGATGTGTAAGAGCTGAGAATAGAAAATACCTGTAACTATGCTTATTCATCTCAGGAGCCCAAGTGCCTACCACTACAGAATAGAACAAAGAATGCGTGGATGGATGGACAGAAGGGCAGATAGGCTGGATGCCCAACCCACAACTACATCCTCCTTTGTGCCACTGAAAACTCAGTCTTGAATCCTAGTCCAGTGCCCTAGATTCAGACTGCAGAAAACTTAAAACATAGCTCTTAAAGTTATAAAGTCTAAGCTGTACAGGTCATAAAGGACCATTATTCTAAACTCTTTTCATGTGTGTGCAGGTGTAAATAAGCCTTGAATTCAGGATCTAGAGCATGCTAGAAAAGCATTCTACTACTAAGCTATACTCCCAACCTACCTCACCACTTTTTCATTTTGGGCTAAGTTGCCAAGACTGACCTCAAATTTGTAATCCTCTTGCCTCAACCTCCTTAGTAGCTGGTATTATAGGTGTGTGCTACTATAGTTGGCTTCAAATCTTCATTTTATGGCACATAAACCTGAAGCTCACAGAGGACTCTTTGCCTACAGGCTAGAGGCAGTCTGAAACCCAGCTGTTTCAACTTTCATTATCTTGTCTCTTTATATCTGGAAGTTATTTTTTAAATAACAATTCTTCCCCCCATCCCATCCCCTATATCTTTAATTAGGCCATTCAACCAACTTTGTGGTGACTATCCTTTTACCCTCCAATCGGTCTAAAGACTACTGGATTGCTAAGGGATCAGCTTTGCTCTGCCAACTGAATGAGTGAACAAATGCCACATTAGTCCAGAGGTCTTCCCTGATGGAGGGGAAAGTTTGACCAATTTACATTGGAGCAAAATGATGTTACTTCTGATTTGACTTAAGGTAGTAAGTAAGTATGGCTGTTTCTCTTATGACTTAAAATAAAGTGTTCTGAGTTCTTTCTGTTAGTAATCCAGGCTTTGATGTGAAGACGGTGGGTTCTGCACCCACCTATTAAACCTGTTCCTTCATCCATGTGAGAGTCAGGCCTCTTCCCATCAGTAACCTGAGGGACCCACTGGAAGAGTCAGGACTTATCCCCTCACCTACACAGGCTCCCTTCCTCATCACACTCTTATGAAAGGTCAATGTGTACTTTAATCACATAGCCCTGGGTGCTTCTGTTTCTAGACTAATTAAGGCTCTCAGAACCCAGCACCTGGGGAGTGAATTCAGTGGTTGCAACAACTGGTAAAGCAAATGAGCAGGAAGATAAGATCTTGGCCATGGTGCCAGTTACCTGACTCTATGAGGTTATATTACAAACCTTGGAAGGGCCTTCATTTTCATAAAAGTGCAGGCTGCTCCTGCCCAAGTACAGAGGAATTTTCCTCCTTTATTTTAATATGAACCTGGGTGAAAACTAACCAAGTCCCCACCAGGTATGTTTGAGCCCATCACCTCAAAAGCAGAGGTTGTTGGCCCAGTGAATAAGTGGAGCAGCCCATTTTGAGAAACATTTTATGCCAGCCCTTCCAACAAGGATCATTGCTTCCTTGGCCATAACATAATCCAGGAAATTGGGGAAACCACACATATGAGCCTCTGGAAAAAGCCACACCACCCTCTTACAAAATGTGGGAGGAATAGGATCAACCACAGTGATCCTACTGTCCCATTTTATCTCTGCCCCCTACCTTTATCTCCACTTCTGACAAAATTAACTCAAGGACTTGAGTGGGACCAATAAGAAGTAGTTGTGTTTGCTCCAAATCTGGTTTAGGATAAATTTGATTGTCTGGGCTTGTAGCTTTGACTTCCCTTCCTTTCCTGAGGCTTTCTTGTGAGCTCATTCTCAATCAACTTGACTCAAGTTGCAAAAAAGTATGGAGTCCCATTTCTATCAGAGTTCAATGCAAAGACTACTCTTGGGTATTTCAAGCATAAATAGGAGCCAACAAAGGCACTTCTACAGCTACAGAAGTCAGAGGGTCAATATCAGGCACCATGGAAGCTATAATCCAAAGTCAGAAAGCTACAGGAAAGTGTCAACCTCATAGGTGCTCCACACCCATGAAGGTGACCAGAGTATGAAGCAAAGCCTGGCCACTGCACAAACTTATGTCTTCTGGAGACTGCATGATTGCTGCCACCAATGAAGAAAAAGACACTCTGCCCACTCCTGCTTTCCAAACCTTACTCATTGTGTCTCATTAGGAGAATCTAAATCATAGCAGCAAGGAAATCTGGAAGTTTTTAGCCCTCCTACCTCCTATAGTACACGGGTTACAAAATGAAACAAAGGATCCTAAGTGCTATTGCACTACTTTTGTTAAGGCCACAAAAATGATTGAGAATGAGCTCACAAGAAAGCCTCATGAAAGGAAGGAAAGGCAAAGCTACAAGCCCAGGCAATCAAGCTTACTCTAAACCAGATTTGGAACAAACACAACTACTTCTTATTGGTCCCACTCAAGTCCCAAGCAGACCTACTTGGAGTTTTGTGAGCTACTCAGAGGCCTAGGAGGACCAGAAGGGAACCTTGCCACAGGGAGGAGATCCTGGTCTGAAATTTGGGGATTAGAAGAAGATAGATGATCTGGAGAGGGTGTAACGTTCCCATTTCAGACACAATTAGGGCAGTTCTGCAATTACTTTTATAGCTCCCCCATAAGATTTTATTTGTAAAAGGCATTATCAGTAAACATGTAAATAATAAATAACAAGACAGGAGTGAGTAGTTTAAAAACCACTTCTTTCACAACACCCCTGAAAAGCCTGCCCATCCCCCTAGTCTCCAGCATGTCAGAAAGTCACACTAATATATGTAAAGAAGTACCTATCAGAGCACAAGGAGCACCCTGTTCACCAGTCCTTGAACAGAGACATACATGGCCTACTGACTGCCCTGCATCCAAAATTTGGGGCAAACTGGAAGGACAGCAGAAGGAGGGAGAGACAGGTCAAGATCTGCAGCTGAATAGTGCAAAGCCCAGGAAGAAAGCAATGATAGTTTTCAGAGGGTGTGAGCGAAAGTTATTTGCCTCTTAGATTCACATCATAAAAAAAAGTCTACACAAAACCAGTATTTAGTTATTTCATACCATTCATTTACAATTTATTTTCATCCAACTCATTATGTTACAAAACTGTACATCTCCTCCCAACACTGTTGGATAACCCAGGTCATTTGTTAGGAAGAGAAGAATCACCACTGGGCTTCTTCTTCAGATGTCTTCTCTCCTGGGTTGGGCTTATCAAGACCAGACCAAAGTGTGGAATGCGGGAATGGCAATCCTTTAAGTAAGGTCTTGGCCTGGCTCCTCCAGTTGCTACAAGAGGGATGTCTCTGTTGGGAAAGCAACCACCAGTCCCAAGAACACAGAAGTCCAGAGAGACAGGCAGGTGGTACTGGCCACCATCTGGCTGTGGTGGGAATGTCTGTGGTGAGGGAGCCACAATTCAGCAGAGATATGCCTGTCCAGGACAGGGACCTGGAGTTGTGGGGCCATAGCACTAGGAATTCAAGAGAAATACAGAATCTCAGGGCACAGCAAAAGCCTAATATATACTCCAATTCCCCCAAACATCCCCTGGGTTTTTCATTTCCCCCCTTTAAAGGCAGGAATAGATATTAGTATATGGACAGGCTGCCTATATCTTTGGCCCTATTTTGTGACTTTGGCCACTACTCCCAGAAAACCAAGTGACAGAGGACTTTAGCAGTCTTGCCAATTACCCCCACACTATATACACACCATTTGACTCTTGATTCAAGGATTATTTCAGGCAGGCTCCTCCTGGTCACACTCCCCACTCATATACACAGTACACACACGCCCACAGCACCTACACTTTCTTTGCAGATCATTTACTCAAAATCTAGCTTCATGTGCATACTGTGAGCTCCTTGAAGGCAGAGATCAATGTCTATGTGTTTCACCCGACAAATAGCACCACTACAACAGCAGACTTAGGAGGAACTCAATGAGCTTGGGTTTATTTTAACTGGATTGTGGATCCCAGCCTTTCTATAAGCTTTATGCCCTGCAGAACCACAATTTTCTATCCAACTCTGATCCACACATTAGCCCTCAGAGGGCATCTTGTGTTTAACCACTCTCAGAAAACAAGCCCTTTCCTACAGAGTTGATTCTAGCTCTGCAAAACTACAAAATTCTCCCAGATCTGCTAGGAGAAAGGGCTGGAAAATTAAATTCTTCACAACCTTCATTCTACTTTAAAAAAGATCTACCTTTACCCCCACATTTGTTGTTGTTGTTTTTTTTTTAAGATGTCGATGGACCTTTATTTTATTTATTTATTTATATGTGGTGCTAAAAATTGAACCCAGTGCCTCGCACATGCTGGGCGAGCACTCTACCACTGAGCCACAACCCCAGCCCCCACATTTGTTCTTTCACAAACATAAACATGTGGCCCTTGCCTTGGCTTGAAGCAGCAACCTTAAATCTGGATTCACATCATAGCACAGGCAGAAGAGAAATGACTGGGAAAGGCTGCTCCCTGATTGGGCAATTCCCAGCCCTCTCAGTTTAAGAGTCACCTGGGTCTGCTCACCACCCATATTTCAGGGGAAGGAGAGATGCCAGCAAGGCTCTGCCCATCTGTCTCACCTCTCTTCCAGGAAGACCCACAGGTTGAACCACTGCCTCAGTACCAGGCACCTCCGCTTCTTCCTGAACTTTTGTCCCGACTAGTCTAGTTGGTTGGCACTTTCAGGCAAGGGCTCATGGGGCAGCGAGTCACAGACAGGGCTTCCAGTGCCAGTGCTGCCAAGACTGGCACTTCCAAGGCAAAGATGTCCAATGGAGCCAGTGTGAGATGGGCTCTTACTCCTCTATGTAAACTAGGGTGGAAGGGGAGGGCTGTATAGCATGGTCCTTCCTGCTCCTGTGGCTCAGGACCTCATGATCCTGCCAAGAACACCTTGTTCACAAAGCCACCTGGAAAATTGGTCATTTTGACACCTTTATTTCCCCTCCACATATCCTCACCCTGTTCTCTCAAAATCTCCTGTCCTTTGGGAGAAAACCCAAAGATTTTTTTTTTTTTACTGTATATAATTACTGCACTTTCCCAACCATGAATACGTAAGTACTGTCTAGAAAGTCAATGAAGATTATAGCATTTAAAGATAAACTGTTTAAGTGCCATTTGCTTTTAAAAAAAAGTGACCCTTAACCCTCTTGTATTCTTTTGAGAGGTTATATTGGAATAGAAATAGGTTCTCTGTCCCTTGGTGGCTACCCGATCCTCATATGATGTGCTGGCTCATAGGGCTGGCCTCTAACACTTCTCACCAGGTCTGCCTTTAAACCATCTCTCCCAAAGGTAACATATATTTTTACAACTTATGGGAAACTCAGACTTGCTTCTAGTTTTCCCCTAAAGGTAATTATAGTCCTCAAACACCACTTTCAGTGAAAAAAATTAAGCCATCAGAAGGGCCAAGTTTCTTCCTACAGTAGGACTTTTATCAAGGATTTAGTTGGGGGATAGAAGAAGAGTGCCATAAGAGAAGAATTCTACTCATTATCTCCTGATGTAGGCCATGAGGGATTTTATGCTCACATCTATCTGCCTAAAAGGGGAGCAGGGGGACTTTCCTTCCCCAGTGATGTGGGTGCAGACAACCAGCATATAAGAAATCATTTACTCTGCTCTTGATTCAACCTTGATGAAATGTCTGCCTGCCAGAAGCTGGCCTCAGCTCTGACTAACAACCTGGCAGAACCTCACAGGTCAGTTACTATTAATCTATTAATTGTGTGAAAAAGGGAAGAGGTATAAGAGAAGTAAACAAGGGAAAGACCTATACAAGGTAAAAAAAAAAAAAAAAAAAAAAAGTAATTCCTCAAATGGAAGAGAAAGAAAACAAAAGGCCAC